TGCATTTATATGCTCCTGACCTGTGTAGAAATAACCATGCAGTATGTAGAATGTGGCGAAGCTAAATTTGAGTGTTTAATTTAATCATTTAACTAATCATTTTGGAAATATTTAATTATTTTTTATATACAATTCTGGGCAGTTTTATATGTTGCAAAGTCCAAGTTACTGTGTATTTTATAGGTACAGTTTGCAGGTACACATTGAAATATATATCAAAAGACTGCTGTTTTTTTTTTACTTTGAAATGGTGGACCGCTATAATTGCATTATACACTTGCCCAATAAATATTTGTTACACCTGGTGAATGGCTTTTTGAAGCATTTGTATGCTGAGTCTATTAATGTCAAGATCAAGAGCAGCCATAGGGCTGAAAGAAAAACCATCATGCTCAAACGAATGCAAATTTGGAAAGAGAAATTATTATCTGACTTCTGTGTTTTTGTAATTAAATAAGGTGGTCATAGCATACACACAGTGGCTTCAGTAATTATTTCTGTTCCTGGTATACATAGTAATTATTTCTATTCCTGGCTTACATAGTAATAGAGATGTGTTCCTGGCATTGAAGCACTGTTCGTTTTCCGTGCCAAAGAATGGGTTTGCACCTCAGTTACTTCGGCTGTTTTAGCAGCTGCTTGCTTGTTATCTAAAGGTAAGGTTTCCCAATTCCGGACAGTTCAGTGCAGACACGTAGCTTTCATCTGCTCTCTTCTGGGACTGGCATACTTATCTGTTTTATCTCATATTAGGCAGCCATTGCAAAAATAAATCCCAGGGAGTCACCTTAATCAACTTTCAAAGATTTAATTTGTTGCGTAAGCTTGTCAGACATGAGTAATTACACGTCAGTTACTTTTTGGCAGCTAACTAGAGGGTGGCCCAGGTCACTGTATATACTGTAAGTGTAATTACAAAAACAGATGTAGTGCAGATTTGATGGAAGGTAACAATAAATCATTTGTCACTAATAAAGATTATACAGCTATTTTTTCTACTTTTTGGTAACTGCCAAATAAACGAATTAAGAGATCATGTGAAATGTGGGTAATGTTGCAACTCTCTCAAAGATGTCAAACTCTTCTGCACAGGCTCTTTTTGTAATGAGTTTTAAATCATTGGCAAACACATTCCCATATGGATTGTTCTTTCTCTGACTGGTTTCCAAAATTTGCATTTTACTGCAAAACAATATTGAAAACTACTGTGTCAGTACAGTGAATTTTTTCATTTAAATATACAGAATTGCAAACTATCTAAATTGCTTATCAGACTCCATTAGGTGTTTTTGGATCAGACAGTGGGTCTAGAAACCAGCCTATGGCAGCCCAGAAGCATTTGCTGAAATAACATTTGGTTGGTTTTATAAAGTACACCCATATTTCTCACTGATAAGGTAAAAGGCTTAGGAAAAAAATAATTGCTGTTCTGTGTTAAATTTGTACTTTTCTCGCCTACGCTATTCGCTCTTTCACTTGAACTTCTTGCACAGAACATTAGGCAGAACAAAAGCGTACATCTCATTAAATTTAAATCTACAGGTCACACTGTATCTTTAAAAGCAGATAATATTTTATCGGATTTTTCAGAAGCTGTATTCTGCAATGCCACAAATTCCAAACAGACTTCAACAAATCCAGTGACTTCTTAGACATCTTAGTACAGCCACAGGTGGGGTCCTGTTACTCTCCATCATTCCTGTCAAAGAGCAGCTTATATTCCAGGGTGTTGAAAGACTAAGGAGTAAAGAGATCAAGAAATACTTTAAAGGTTCAAAATACTTAAAGATAAAGGGAGACATAAAAAGGAAGGTCAGTTTTTACAGATTCTGTACAAGCACAGATTGCTACATCCATCCATTTTCTAACTGCTTCTTCCAACTCAGAGTCACGGGGGAGCCTGTCCCCGCAAGCAACAGACGATAAACAGGGTAACCCTGGACAGGACTTTTATGTCAGTCCAGACAGACATCCTGACTTGTACCAGTTGCTTGCTGGCATAGGCTCTGGCTCCTCTGCAACCCTGAATTGAATAAGATGGTAAAACATGGATGGATGGATGATGCTTAAGCTTTCTATAACACCAGTCAAATAAGCAACAGCACTGTGGAGATCTGATAACAATAATTGCTTACACTTATATGGCACTTTTCTGGACACTACACTCAAAACACTTTTTGCAGGTAATGGGGACCACCACCACCACCAATGTGAAATGAAAGGCCAAGATAGGCCTGACTGTTGTGGGAAGAGCGCAGTTGAAGAGGGAGGAGGAAAACGTTTCACAATATTCTTGATTATTTGGTTACCGTTCTGTACATTTGTTTCTGCATTAGCAAATTCTGAGCATTTTTGTGTTTTGTAAAGAACATTGCTTGGCCATATTCTTATGTTTTTGCCCTAGTAATTGTGTTGATAAGCTGTGGAACAAAACAAAAAGGTGTTACACATTTTCTGCTGTACTGACTCTCTTAAGAAGGATAACTATTATTTCTGTACTTCTAGTGTTTAAAATGTCATACTGCAAATCTTCCAGGTGTTGTTACCACACACACGTAAGCAGGCTGCAACCATCGCCTATGGCTCCCTCTTCATTAACTTGAATTGTCCAAACATTTTACATTTTTATTTATTTTTTATTTTTATTTTTTATATTTTGGAATAAAAATGGCAAATAGGTTTAAAATAGTAAATATAACATGGACTGTGTAAGGAGCAATAGGAATTTAGGAGTCATTACTTTCACAGTGCTGTTATGTTTTCATTTTATTTTATATGAAAGTAACGAAGTTCCTTAGATATTGGTGTGATTGATAATAAACGTGCCATAATTAAAAGTGACAGGTACTGCAGTCCTAAAGGGAGAGCACCACCTATTGTACAGATGAGGAATTGCAGAGACTCTAGTGAGTGACCTTATGAATGAGGAACACCAGAAAGTGCATCCTCTTTTTCTACACAACTCCAAAACACAATTATATATCAGGATCTGCCATTCTGTATAAATACAGAATAATTAATAAAAAAAAATTCTAATGAAAGAGGATAATTAAAAGAAAACCCATCACAACCTTCATTATAGGAGACAATGTATATTCACACACTGCCCAGAAGCTCACTCTATTTTTCTGGGTTTGATCTTGGCATCCAGCATATTATGTAAAATTACAGCTTATAACATCACATAGGAATCACATTTAGGAAATAAAGACGATTATGTCTGAGTGTAACGGGGGGCCGTCCAAGGTTCCCGCAAAGCGTAGTTCAGGACCCTATGCAGACGGTATAATCTGGAAGTAAGTGGAGAAGGACAATAGGGAAGAGACATAGAGGATCAGGATGGGTTGACAGACAGGGGGGCGTGACTACAGGGATCCAGTGCTCAGGGGGCGTGGCGATGGCAAACAAGTTCAGGCAGTCAAAGGTGAATCTGGGGCCAAAGTCCAAAACTTTTGAATTTGCGGATCCATCAAAGGCGAAACAAACACAGTTAAAAACCCGGAACGGGGTCTGGAACAGGGACTGGGAATAAAATGAGGGTAACGAGGCCATGCGCTCCGAGCCCCGGACTGAGATAGTAAGGACATCGTGATGAAGCCTATGCTGTCGGGTCTCTCCCATGGGTAGGTGGGCTTCCGGGCTGAGCCAATACTGAGCCAGACATAGCGGGAGCACCCGCCTTACATAAATATGGGTAAACAGGGGACAGGTGCACAAAATGAACTAGAATATGAAAGAGTCGGAGTCCCCTCTAGAGGAGGGATTCCGATCGTGACGCTGGGAAAGATTTCTCATAGAATGAATTTATTTCACTGTTAAACGGTAGAAATATTATGTGTGCTTTGATATAGTTTCATTCTTTTGTATCTTTAATTTCAATTTTACAGTATTTAAAAACATGTTTTAAGTGTTATAAATGTGTAATCCACTGCCTGTTTAATTCTTGATTTGGAGCTCAGTTTCACTCACTAATGGAACGCCTTGTTCAAACTGTAGTAATGCAGTCATACAGTATACAGTACGTCTGATGAGCCTACACACAATGAACTAGATGAATACACTTAGTTTTCTGAACTGTTAAACTAATCCTTGAGCCTTTTTTTTGTCCTTTATATAAAAAACATATTGGTGAAAAATGAAGCAGATGTTTAAAACCCAGAGTAGTTTGGAGAATTCCTGAAATAAAAATCATAACGTGGTAAACAAAAGTGAAATTAATATGTTGTCTTTTGTCTTTGTCTGTTGTCTTTGGGCTGAGAACATGTATTCCTATAATTCCTAACACATCATACAAGGCTGAAAATGTGTTATTATACACAATGGAGCAGTGTGGCTATGTTAGCTCAATAATGTCTGTTAGCTTTAATTTGTGTTACTGTCTGCCCTGTGTCTAATTCAATGTGTGCAACTTGTTTCCTCATAAACCTTACTGGCACTGGAATATACTGTATACTCTAATTTAAACTCCAAATCACTCTATCTTTGGAAATATGTGCTTAGGGTCCTTATTTGAATGAGGCTTTTGTACCGTATTACATAAACTCGTTATTCTCAAAATGCAGGTGGTCTTTGAGAATTGAAGCATATGAGTCGTGATAATCTATGAAATAAATAAGTGATGAATTTGGCACTCACTTCACCCACATAAAAACTGTGAATTGAATTGGGATCAAATTATCATCACAGGGACTCAGGCTCTATGTGGCTATACAGTATCAACAGAATGAAGAGGCTCGTTTGTGAAATAATACCGTAAAAAATTACACAATGAGATGCTCAGGTTACAAAGTAGGATTTTTTTGGCTATTTTTTTGAGCTAATGATTTTACCATGATCTGCTTTCATAGATGTTGTAGTATAACATGTACAGGCTAATCACATCATGAACCACAGAGATCTAAAAATATGTACTACCTAACATACAGACTAAGTAATGTTCTTCAAGAAAATTTCCCTTATGATCTTTATGGTTAATAGCGGTTTCTCATTTTGTTTTCCAGCACACCACAGTGCTACCTTTTATCTTAATTGAGATGAGAACAACACACCATCGCTATCCCAGCAGGCTGTGTGGGCTGGTAGCAGTCTGCAGCTTTGCCATCGGATATGTACTATGGTAAGATCTTAATCTGCAATTCATGCTCACTTTTGCTCTAAATAAGAGTTGCTGTTTTTGTTTGCATGTGTGTATTATGTAATTCACTATGCTTCAGGTTTGTATGTTTTTATCAACAGTTTTCTTAGTATTCTTTGGCTGCCAATACCATTTAGCACATCCTGTACCCTCTGCTATAGTTCTCTAACCATGGGGAAATCTCCAACAACGACCCCATCTAAACAGCACCGCTACTGAATCCTGCTCATTACATATATTACATGTATGGAAAAGTCTAGAATGTCAGCTAGAAATTATTGGATAACAATCTGATTCTGAAATACAGATGTATCCGCAAAATGTATGCAGTGTTCTGATGTGCCTTGGTTTTCATGGTTCCCTTTAATGTTTGGTGACAGCTGGGTACAGATACCCAGTGACTAACAGGCAGAAGGATCTATTAGAGATCCTGTGGGGATAATGTGAGGCACTATCATCTATTCCCAGGCACATTTACTTTTTGAAATGTGTCTAGTATTGAGAGGAGCTCCAGAGAACAACTACTGGAAAAACCTGGGAAATACAGTTCTGCTTACAAGTAGGTTGTTCAGATCGCAAAGCTCATTATAATTGTCATATACTATGACAAACCAATCCATCTTCGCAAATCCCAAATCTTTCAAATGGGACAAACTAAGCACTCCCAAAAGAAGACATTGAGTTGCTAGTTACTGACCTCTGTAAAGTTTTGTTCTAGTTTTTGGTGATTGAGTATTATCATTTTAAGAAATAGGTGCATACAGTACAAATGTGTTTGTTCTTAAAGGTTTTTCTGGAGATAAACACTGTATCCCTGTTACCTCACACATTGCTCCCAGGAGCAGTCATGCTTTTGACCACTTTTTGTATGGCAGATATGGAAACACATTTAATCCCTGGTGTTCAGATTTTGTGCAGTGTAAAAGAACCTACATTCCTCTGCTTTAACGGTTTTTAAAAAGATGTATAACTTGACTTGACAGATTTGACACAAAGTGTTATTGGTGATGTGAGTATACCTGAAATGGAAGAATTGTGGTTTTCATCGCTGTAGCTAGATGTGAAACCCATTCAGTCCTTATCCCTTAGAAATTAAAAGGATTAAATAAAAAAGCTTGTAGAACTCCATGGATTTGTCTTGCTTACGAAATAGAGAAGTAAGATAAATCCATACACAGTGTTACATGGGATTACAGAGTCCGGATGATTGGAGAAGCAGTAGTAAGCTTCAAACAGGATAATTTCAGATTCACAAGGTACTGCCTTAGTATATGGGTCAGATATGAGCACAGCTCTCGATTTCTGTCAAGACAATACCATTATTTTTTATTTTAAAAATATTATTTATGCAGGCGGCAGTGAAAAGTTTATTGAATTATTGAATTTTCTTCTTCTGTTAGTCATTCTCTTTCGGAAAGTTCATAGGTTTTAAGATGTCTTGGGTAATACAGAAATAGAATGACAGTCCTGTCAAATGGTTACTGTACATCATTGTTTGATTCTTGGTTTGATGTGTTTTATATCAACATTGATAATCAAAAGAGCTGTTATATTAAGAGATTGTTATTTTCTCATTTCGATTTTTTTCCAAATGTAGGAATCCCAGTAAAAATATATGTTTTTGCTGGTACAGTAAAATGAATAAACTGTATTTAATACTATATTTTTAACTGCATTTTTCCATAACTGTTATGAAGTTATTTTTAATTAAAAGGGTCAGACCCTAATCTCACCCACTTCCACTTATCTAAATATAAATCTGACATTTCTTCTGTGCCCTTTTCCTCATTTTATTTCCCATGATAACATTCAGTGCTCACCCTTGCAAGAGACAGACCTTTCTGTGCAACTCTCTGTACCTCCCATCTTCAACCTGCTCAAAGGAAGCCATCCCCTATACTCCTGCCATCTCGGCAAGCCACAAGAACACCAGCCCGGTTCAGAAGCTGGATTTCTTCTAGAATCGAACCCTCCCCAGAACTCCAGTTCCCATTCGCTGTCGCCTCTAAGTATCGTCACACTGTTTTCATCTACTTCCCCATCTCTGGAACTCTCCACAGCGACCAGCACTATCACTCTCCTGCTCTCCATGTTCCTGAGTCCACTCTCCCAAATGGTTGCCTTTCTCACTTCAACTTTCTCACTTCCCATCTCAGCAGCACCAGTCTGCTCCCAACTAATCCAAAAACCAGATCCATCTGCAGTCCTACACCTCTTCTCCCAGCACATCTTTTTTCCAAGTCAGACACAAAAGACAGCCCTGTTCGGACAACATGGAAATCGACCTGCTCGCTGGAGTCACCAAGCACTTCCTTCTCCTTCGGCCCTTCATGAAGATGTCATCCCTCCATGGAGTTCCAGAGCAAGCACTCCCCGGGAACCTCTCTCTCTCCTCTCCCAGATATTCATATGCATCCATGTCCTCTAATCCCATCCTTTATCTCCAGCCTTCATTCTCTCTTGTCCCTTCTGAGAGTCCCTCCCTGGGCTGCTCTTTTCATTCATTAATAACATGAATTTTCTGTTCTTTCCCCCCTTTTCATCACCTGGCAAGTTCTCATCCTTTCCCTTTGATGTCAAGAACTGTCTATAGAGACATTCAATATTTGAAGTGGATGCAAGATCCACAGTGCCTGACATGAGAGTTTGTACTGACTGGAGAAATTACATCCCTCACTGCCTACTTCAGGGCACCCTGCAGACCTGCAGGAGTCTGTGTTTTCCATAAGGTCGAGAGGACGCTGACACAACCAGTCCTAACCCAGGTCTGGCAGCACCCAGCCAATGACACTGTTGGGAAACAGAGTGTGACACTGTTTGGGAAATTTCAGTCCTAGTCATCTGCTGACATGATTGAGGCTACACCTTGCAACATTAAAAATGAAGGAAAAACATTGTAACTATTATTATAACAATTGGAAAAGACTAGAATATGTGTGCTAGAGTAGGGCTAGGTTGTGTGTCTAGTCCCATATTCATATTTCGTATGAATTCGTATTTTGTATTGTTTTATTTTGTAAAAAGAAAATGCTTAGACAGTGTGGAAAATCTGTTAGTAACATGACTCAGGGGACCTTCACAAATGAATCACTATAAACACCTGGAACATAATGTCCAGGAGGTTTCCAGGCTTTAGAGACCAAAAAAAAAAAAAAAACAAGCAAATTAGCAGATTAATGAACAATACTTCTACAAACAAATATGAAAGAATGGTTACAACCACACATCAACACCTAATAACATTACCTGAAACGAAACTTCTGACTACAATAACAATTTGCACTGTGATACCCTATTCAACATGCTATTCAATCCCTTATACCGGATTCACAGACAAACCAATAATCAAGCAGTGTGAGAATGCACCTTCCAAATCTTCATTTGAGTATACACAACAACTGACTTTGAGGCCGTATTGTCCTCTGGCCTCTAGTGGCAGGCTCATGGTTATTGCATTCCTTGCATGGGACAACCTGCCTTATAAGGCTTATCTTTAATTTATTGTCCTTTTCTGGGCCAAGGCCAAATCAAAACTTTGGCCGTCATCGACAGAATCACAAATTACAAACCCATACTTTGGTAGAGACTTTCCTATGGGTACAAGAAAGAGGCTTGTTTCAAACAATAAGTCATCATCAAGTACAAGGATGGTAATTTGTGTATTACTGGAATGCTGAATTTTTTATTTGTTCTGGGCCCTAGGCAGCTCATTGTTTGGCAGTCCAGGTCTGATTCACAATCCTGACATTCTTGACATAGTCAATACATGTGGGTTGTCATCTTCAGTGTATAATTATAGAATGTTTATTGCAGTTTGGTTTTTCAAACTTTCCCTGAAACCACAGAGGAGTTAATCTTATTGGTAATTAAGGGAAAAAATGTATAACATGAAATCCCCTTTCATTTTTTTATTATTTTACTGTTGTGTTTGATGCACATGTGCATCTCTTGGGCTTAAACTGAAACTGTGAGCATTGTGAGCACGATTTTCTCAATTGCAAAAGCAGCATTGCTGAAACCACATGGAGAACTCTCAGAACAGATCACTTGTGAAACTGCTCACATATTTCACTGCAACATTGCAAAATGTAACAATCACAGCAGCAGGATTTCCATAAAGCAATTTTGGGGATTTAACAGTTTTTCTCGACTGCTTGAGCACATTTACCGAAACAGAATTCACTTCTTCAAAACAATTAACATGCAGCCTCAAAGTGAAACACATTGGACAAAATGACACATTCCATTAGCAAAATGCACTGAGACTCTCAAAACATTAAATACATGACAGAAAATATTTCAATTCAATTCATCTCAACTTTATTTGTCATTATACTTACACAGGTGCATAGTATAATGAAAGTGTTTCTCATTAGTCTCTCAGGTGCAGTATAGAGTATATATAGAACAGCAGACAAGACAATAGACGGAAAATACAATAACAATACCAGTGTAAACAACAGTATGGTACCAGTGTGACAGTACCCATGTTAAAAACTGTGCAAAAGTACACAAACAGAGCAAACAGTGCAAAATAATATGGCGATTATCAAATAGCACAACTACAATCAAGTAGTTTTAAGTTCAAGTTCAGCTTACATTCAATTGTCGGAGGTATGGTGTATGTAGTGGTATAGGAGTACAGTCGTTGTGAGGAACAGGAAGAAGTGAGAAGAGATCATAGTTTGGTTGGGTGGGAGTGGGGGGGTCACCAGATTGACAGCTCTGGGGAAGAAGCTATTTTGGAGTCTAGTGTGTGACTGGAACATCCAGAACTTCTACCTGGTGGTAAGGGGACAAACAAGTTCTGACTCGGGTAAATGAGGTCAGTCATAATTGTGGTGGCTTTTTTCAGACTTCTGGTGTTGTAGATTTCCTGGATGGATGGTAAGGCACTGGCGATGATGTGTTGGGCAGTTTTGACCACCCGCTGCAGTGCCTTACGGTCAGATGCGGTGCAGTTGCCATACCAGACTGTGATGCAGCTGGTCAGTATGCTCTCCACCATACATCTGTAGAAGTTGGTGAGGATCCGTGGATGCAGGCATGTTTTCTTCAGCCTTCTCAGGAAGTACAGCCGCTGTTGATGAGACTGGAGGTGTTGAGTGCCCATGTGAGGTCCTCAGTGATGTGATCACCTTGGAATCTGAAGTTGTTCACCATCTCCACCGCAGTCCATTTGATGTAGATTGGGGAGTGGACTTGTCCTTGTCTCCTGACGACAACAATCCAGTACTACCTCCATGAAAACATACAACTTGTTATCCAATGAAGTTACGTTTCAATCAGTTGTTACACAATGGCCTAGTAAATACTAACTACAACCATCCACATACCCTAGAGATGTACTGTATACTTGGTATACTGTAGAGGGTTGTGAATACTGTTTTGCAAAAAATGTGTTTAGCTTTTGCATTGTGTGTGAAAGCAATGAGAAATTAATTCATGTAGGTTGCTGCATCAGCTTGCATAAGCTGCAAAGGAACAAGTAAAGGTTTATTCTACTCTGAAAAGAGAAGAAAATAAACCCAATGTTTCAGCTGTGGAGCTTTCTCCGGGTGTGATAAAGAGAGAAAAAATTGTTCTCATTAGGTTAAGATGGAGATAAAGAGAACCCCAGTAGTTTCATTAAAAGTGTCTAAGCAATCGAGAAAAACTGTAACTTGTTTCTTTTAAGTTGGTTTTCATCATTACATCCATTCTATACGATAATACTCAGAAAAAAATCTCACTACCCAAAAAATCATTACACACATAGAAATGCAAATTTCACAACTTAAGTATCCTGTCACATTTGAGAGATTCAACCTGTGCAAATGAATGCTGCCTTTTTTCACTTGAGCATAAACATATGATAAATGTGCTTGAAATTTAAATATCTAAATTTGAAATATCTGAATAGCTTAATTAGAAATATCTAAATATGATATTTAACACCAGGATCAACATCCTCACATACTTTTGGAAAAGGGTTTGACAGAGCAATGGATCGGGTGTAAGTTCAATTCAAACTGTGTGTCTTGTAAAGACATGGAAGCAAGGAAATGCCATGTTTTTGAGCTACATATTGATTTTATATTTTTCACAGATAATGAAAAAATGCAAACCTCTGTGTTCGGCATCTTACTGTAAAAATGTAAGAACAGTTACAAACGAGAAGAGTCCATTCTGCCCTCGAGCTCATTTTATAATTAGTAGCTACTTGATCCAAGGACCCAAGCATTAATGTGATATAGTAAGTCAGTCAAAGCAGCATTGCTGTATCCGCTTGAACAGAAACACAAAATACTCTGTTCTGTTTCAGAGATTCAAGATAGTAACAAGCTGTCTTATGTTTTCTAAAGAAACATCATAGTAGAAACAACACATTCAATAAATGCTGCAGTGTGAATTTCTCTTAATATCTATAAGGTCAGTGTTAAACTTAATAAAAATTGTGCAGATATACGGAATAAAAGATGCAATTTTAATTGAATTATGTGGGTAGCAACCAACACAGTTCGGCAAAACAGAATTAATGCATCTTGTTTTAATTTAAAGTGTAATTTGGAAAAAATAAAAATCATTACTTAAATTAATTGTATTAAATCACTTTTTCTGTAGGCCTACCAAGAACATGGTTAGACTTTTCCATCAAGGTTAGACTATCATAAAAAAGTCCTCAAACCTAATTTGTGTAATCTGCTTTGGGCAAAAAAATGTTTGTTTTCCTCTTCATCTGGAATGTTAAGTTATTTTAAACACTGTTTTATGATTAGCTGCATTGAATGTCCTAACACATACTTTCATTAAGCGTTTCTATGGCAACAGTGGCTGCACTTCAGTTTATCCTAATAATAATGGGGACAATGGACTGGAAGCCTTTTTATGGGCAAGTAAATACACCACACTGCGGCATCTGAATCACAATGCATGGTGATTCTGCTCAATGAATGATTTTAATCAAGGTTGTCCTGAGTGGTCTGATAGCCTTACACAAATCCTGTACAAAGTGAAACTTGGCTTGTTTTGATGGAGTAACATAGGGTGAATTTAATGAGCTCCACATTTGTTGCACTAGTGTTCCAGGCAGAAAAATAAAAATACAAGCTTTCTAATGGTTCCTAATTCTGGAACACGAGACAAATACTGAAAACGAGTAGCTGAAGGTTTGCACTGGAGGAGTTTTATTTGCATGGGTATGCTTTATGCACTCTAGACTGTTGCAGTCCTTTGTAAGGGATGTTTTAAGGGTGCTGCATTCATTGATGGAAAGGCAATACATAGGTTTTAATGTATTAATCATCGCAAAATGTACAGCATAATTGCACTATGGACTGCATGTGAATCCTTTGTTTCCAAATAGAAGGAAGCCACTTGATCCATTGTGCTGACTTGAATTTCCATTTTTAGAGATCAGACAGGAAATCAATACCATACTGACCCATACTGACAATGTTTTTCATCTGCTTAGCATGTTCTGAAAAAAGGACAACAACAGAAGGTAGCCTTACAGAAATTTAATGAAAAAATATTTTTTGAACAATGCATTGAGGCCAGACAGTACAGATTCACTAGAAAAGAAGCACTAAATTTACTTGATGTGTTGCATACTTTTTCTCTGGAAGTCCACTTCTAGCAATATAATGTAGAAAACTGAAAGATTTTTTTAAAATTAAAACATTGCAAATCAGTTGTGGGTTATTTGGAGTAAAGTTAATTTTGCACTGGCGAAAATAGTTTGGATGTCTTCATTGCATGAATTGTTTGCCCGGAAAGGATTTGATTAAATGTGACAATTTCCTGTATTATCGTAAAAAGCTCATACTGTACATTAGAATAGGGCTGGTGAACTCTGCATTTCCAGCATGGCTCCAGCAAATCCTTAATTATCAGACTGATCTTCAGCATCGAGATTCATTAAGCAATTAATGAAATGGCACAAAATGGACGTACTGTACCATGACTGACTACTTCTGCACTTCAAGGACAGGCCTCCTAATGAAGAGAATTCTCTCACCCTGAAACAAGGGCTTGGTCAGTTCTGTGTTTAGTGGTGAAGGCTAGTTTGTGGTTTGTGTTATAACTATAGCAGCAGTCCATTGGTTCTCAGTCCTGGTCCTAGAGTAGTCTGTGTCTGCTGGTTCTTTTTCTAAATGGACCTTTAACCACAAGAGCTTTTTGGTGCCTGTAACTGATCTGCTTGATCTTTAGACTTTTTCTGCACTCAGGCCTTGGTCCCTGGTTAGAGTACATTATTTTCCACAATTCCAGTTCATAGAACTTTGTTCACTCTCACCTGAATGGTCTAATTAAGATGTTTTTTTGTCAAAACGGTTCTTAATAGATAAGTGATTGATTATGACCAGACAGAGGTAGGAATGACACTACCTCTGTCTGGCCTCTCCTGTATCAGGCAAGTCCCACAGTGAGGCACTATTTTTTCTTCTGCTTAAGAGCGATTGGTTATATTTCAACCAACACTCCTGAATGATGGCAGTCCTGAAGTTGATTATTTAGTACTGGACACCACTTCCCAGTCTTTTTGCAAATGTGCAAAAATTTGAAAGCAAATTAAAAAACAATTTCAAATTGAAGACTGATATCGATTGGGCTGTAAATAAGATCTCAGATGGAGCAAAAACCAGAAGGCACAGGAATTAGCCAGGATAAGAACTGAGAACTATTCCAGTGGGTTATTTATGAAATCAAAGCCTGAGTGCAGATAAAGTCTAAACCTTAAACCCGCAAGCAGGACCAGTCACATACAGTACACCTGGTCAGATAGCTCTGGTGATTGAGGGTCCAGTTGGACTAATAGCCAGCAGACTCTTGGGAACAAGACTGGCTAGGAAAATGCATATATGAAGGGTTTACATTTTAATGATATGGTGTTCTGAAAGGTATACAGTATTTTGTCATGACTACACAGAAAGCTTTTCCTGTTGGACCCTTTAACTCTCAGTTAGATACACTTCCGAAACTACACTGACGATAATGTGGAGGGAAATAAAATTTGCGACAACCTTTGAAAGTCATGTCTCAGGCATCCTAGTCAAGTAGATATACATATGCTTTGAAATCTACTCCGGATAAATGGATATCTGGATGTCATGTTCTTTTTCTTCTCTCTTCCTTTTGCCCCAAGGATGTGCTGGGTTCACCATGTCACCGGCGTGTGGGTCTATCCTTTACTGGATCGAATTGGTCCCATTGCCAAGATCATCTTCTTCACATTACTAACCGCTTTAATTAATGTCTACTATATTCTCGGGGAAATCCTGAACAGCTATATCTGGGATGCACCAAAATGTAAGTTCCTCTCTTTCTCTTTTCCTATTACAAGAAGAAAAAAAGCCAGTAGGCTCAAGGCTGAAGTGAGGTGAGGACAGTGAGTTGCCCAAACACCTGCCAATTCCAGTGTGGTTAGAGGATCTGTTTGCTTATGTTACAGGCACATCAATTGATCCAGTCATTACTAATCCATTGCTAAGTGATGACTTTGCTGATGTAGACACCTGCCATTTTACATTGCAGAAGTGGTTGTGGTTACAAGCAGGATTGTTTTAGATACCAGTTTTCTCTTGACAATCATCTGTTCAATACAAGACTAACCCAAACACCATTTTATTTATGCATAGCTCTCGATGTATTCAAGCACACTTTACCTCGTGATCTCAGATTATGGTTACAGTTTAGAAATCTAAACCTCATATAAACAAACACGATCCTGTTAAATATTTCCATGTTTTTCATCTGGAAAGTGTTACAGGATGGTTTTGTGTCATGCCTTAAGTGAATGCAAAGAACGAGAAATGCAAGGAAATTAGAAATAAGAAAACGCACCCTTTCAGTTATTTGAAAGAGTTTTTTATAAATGATCTGCTGGCTACAATCAACTGTCACATGACTGGAATGGCATATTTGAATCTAAGAGTCCATTTATTTAAAAACAGTACCAATGGACAGTTGCATGGATTTTAATTTTAATACTGGTTAAACAATTTTACTTCAGGGAATTATTGATTCTTATACAGTAATATTATCTTCTTATGACTTCCAGGTGTTCAGGAAACAGGAAAACCAAAATTGGACTAAGCTTTGGGGCCAAAGAGGAAGTGACAGCTTTTCAGCACTAGACATTCAGACTCGACACTCGACCTAGAAGAAAAAGAGACACAAATAAAAAAAGCCTAATATGGTTAAAACTCTTGAAGAACGTGAAGTGGATTTTTATCTCTGTAGATACACAGAGTTAAGAGTTGTCTAAAGAAAACGGTGTTTTCACCAACAGAATGCTCTGTCCATATTGTTGCATAGTGACAAAGGATTTATGAACAGAGTGAAGAGGAGATGATGGAGGACTCATTTATGAACTGCATACTCGTGTGTTTCATTTACAGGATGTTGGAAACGTACCAGTACAATCATTATTATTACCACATATTTCCAAAATCCAGATATTATATAAAGTTTTATGATGTAGCCTACTGTACATTGTAAATCTTATCTGAACAGGTATGGAATGTAAGATTTTGATCTGCTTTGGCAGACCAAGGAATGTCTTTCCCTTCGAATTATAACTGTTTGCAGCACACGTTACTTTGGTGTATGGGCTTTTGTTTCATTCACTGAGGATTTGCAGTATTTTTGTGGTGTAGCGTCTTTTAAAGCTGTGCGATGAGGTATTGATATGTTCTAAGGCAGCCACACTGAAAGAGTAGCTGATTACCTGCATTTCGTCTTCTTCTGTTGAAATGATGTTGTAATGTTTTCATTGTTTGAAAATTGAAATCTTAAGGTCTTCCAATAAAGGTATTAATTTATCCATGTTGGAGTGTGACCACCAAGCAAAGATGATAGATGATTTTCTTGAGGTGTTTTACTTTTGTCATATTATGAAAATGTATGAAAAGAGGTTTACCCCAACTTCAAAAAACGAAGCTTGTTTAAAATGCACCTGCCGCTAAAATGTGATTTATAGTCTGTATACTACATTACATGACTACATGGGGGAACAGGGTGGTTTTGATTCAACTGAAAAGCAAAATGGCTCGTTTTATGACTTACCGTTTGTCCTGCTTGTTTTCTGGCACTTTTCAGCCACATGTCTGACATGGAAACAACTCAAACATCACAGCTGTTGCAAAAGCTCTCAAACAGACTGTTCTCAATGGAAAAAAGAAAGTGGTTCTTGATATATCCACATACTGTACATAAGCAATACAAAAATTCAAAAAGTTAGGAATCCAAATCTTGGGTATCTTAGAGAGACTGGGGTGGAAAACAGTGATGTTCATTCTGTTTCGGCATAATTACTAAATTCATTTCCATCCCTTAACAGATAAATATCTCCACTTTTATAATACACAACAGGCTGATGTCTAAACATGTTCACCCCCAATGGGTTCTTCTTTTTACTTGTAAAAATGAATTACCGGGGTGGGCATGTATTCCTCCTGATATATCCATTACAAAAATTGCCTATAGTTTAGGTTTCTGCGGAGAGCTATATAAACCATTAAGCTATTTTTGTAAGGATTGGCTTAGGATAGCTAATATGATGGTTTCCCTGAAAACATTACTGTTCTTTCTTTTAATTATTGGAAAGGAACACACACCCTCCCTGGCCACTTCACCATGTGTAGGGAGGATATATCCACCAGCAATCACACTGAAACAGCTTGCTCATCAAATTAACAATAATGTTCTCTCCTCTTCAAAGTCTGTCATATATTTTAATGTGACCACTGTTTGATTGTGCAAAGAATTGAGAGAGCATTATGTTTTCAGATTTTCACAATCACCTTACTCTATCTCTAAAGGTATTCTCATTAAAAGTATTGCTGCAGGTATGAAATTATGCTGAAACAGTTTATGCGAGATGAAATTAATTAAGATAATTACTTTCCAGCTTTTATGCGCTTACACTTCTGATGTGAGTGAGCTAATCAGGCATGTCCTGTTGGTTTTGTTTTTTTGCGACATAGGTAAGAAAATAGTTTCATATTGCAGGAAAAAACAAATAACTATTTGTATTAATGGATGGGTCTTCTCATACAAGTTTTTAAATTCCTCCAAGGCGATGACAGTGTCAATCTGGTGGTCTTCTTCAAAAAGAAGATTGGAATGTGAACACACAAGCAGAAACTATGTGTAAGTACATTTAAAATTGAGACAAGGAGACACTTCTTTCAACCCACTGGACGTCTTCTGAATAAACACAAACCAGATGACACCAGAGGAGACTACATGGAAATACAAAACTAAAAACAGTATAAACTTCTTTACCCAGAGGGTTGTGGGGATGTGGAACAGGTATCCAGCCATCTTATTGAAGATTAGCCTGGCTTCCTGTAAAAAAAAGGTTGAATGAGATCCTCTTATCATTTAACTACCGAACTTGTGGATGGCTCAAATTACCCCCTCTCATTTGTAACTGTTTTTGTGTCCTTTCCAGGGGTCTGTGTAGATAAATGGCCTTGTGAACAACATAGAAAGAATCAGACCTGATTGATTGGTTACCTTGAACATCCAGGACTTGTGTCAGTGACAGGTACACCAGTAACAGGTACACAATAGGTCTGTCAGCAGTGCCTTTATAGATGTATGTCCAGCCAAAAGGGTTAATCTGTTATAATCTGTTATATGCCTTCCCCATGAAGTAATGCCTCCAGCTCAAGCACACAGAAACTGAGAGAGAACAATGAGCAGTGCTCAGGCACATAGATAAACTGAAAAACCTACATTTTTGCTCAGTAATGAAAATCCATTAGGGATGAGACAAGCTATAATATGGATGCAGTTGCAAATTATTAATTTTGCTGATTATTTCCTGTTTCTACCATGTACTAGAACTTAAAGCATATACATGGAGCCACATACAGTAGATGTCATTCCCCAATACCAGGTCTACAGCACCCTTATGCACAACCTCCAAAAACAAACTATGAAAAAATTTGTAAGTTAACTACTGATGATCGGAAAAACATAGTGTACTGTATGCTGACAGACAAATTATTTTGGCAAACTAAAGTAAAAATTAAAAAAATAAAAAGCATGCAGGCTTTTTGCTTTGAAGTTTTCTGAATAACATAATATTTTTTGTAGCTTCAACTACAGTGATTCTCTTGAAACGCAAAACCCCTCTTTGAAAATCGTCCCTGTGGTTTAACATAAAAATACATAAGCTCTTGAAAAACACTCTATTCATCCCTATGGAAAACTGATTAATTCTAATTGTACTCATATATACTGTATATGCAATAGAACCATTCAAAGTGTTGAGAATCCAAGTATTGGGTATCCCAGAGAGGCTGGGATGGAGAATAGTATTGTTCTTTCTTTTTCAGTATAATTCAAATATTCCTTTCCATCACTTAGAAGATAAAGATCTCCTCTTTTATAATGCATAACAGACATTTAAGTCTAAATGTGATCACAACCAATGTGTTCTTCTTTGTACTAGTAAATAGTCACTGTTCTTTTAATTATTGGAACAGAAACAAACACACACCCTCTTTGGCCACTTAGCTTTCCATCTAGTTAATTTAAGGAAAAATGTCTAAGGAAAAATGACTGCACAGTTCCAATGAATTTAAAACTTACTGTACAAGAAAATACTTTTAAAATCAGTAATACTCAAATAAGAAGATGTCACTGTTATACTGTATGTATTTCAAAAGCGAAGCAAGGTTAGATGCTTTTTTTGTAGTCATCTTGATATACATAGTTATGTTAAGTTCATCCTTGTCCTTTGCCTTGTTCAGGCTGTCAAAGAGAATGTGCTCTTAGACTGACCTCTGTTGGGAAACAGAAGTGGTGCACCTAGACTTGAGAATAGGAAGAGCATAGGATTGCAAATGAAAAGAGCTATTCAGCCTTTCTTCCACTTTGGTTGCTATTAGCTTAATGGTCAGAGGACCTTGTCAAGCCAATTCCTGAAGGATCCCAATATGGCCGAACAATATGGGTGAATGATTTGTTCCTAACACCCACTGCACATTGAGTAAAGATGTGCCTCCTATTTTCAGCTCTGAGGCACTCTGTTGTAATTTACACCTGTGTTTTTGGGTCATTAGTTCAATGCTGTCTATAGAGTAATCCATCAGTTTGGTTTAGTCAGCATTTTGAAAGCTTGTCTGTGCTTGGACAGTTTCCTCCCCTGTTCCTACCTGAACAAATTTAGGATACTTTAACATATTGGAGTGATATGGAATTCAACATTGTAAAGCAAGCTTGTGCTAAGGTTTCCAGCTCTCCCGTACCTATCACCACCTATGTGGTGCAACTTTGGTCATAAGCGCTAACGCAACCCTAAATACTCACAAGACAAAAAGCAAAAAGCCTGGTACCAGCTGACTCCATTTCTCCAGCCTTCTCAGGGGCCCTAGGCACAGGAAATGAAACAGCAAGACATATTCTGGACAAGACATATATAAAAACATGATAAAACTATGTTATGTATGAGGATATACCACTAATACAATGTAGATTATGCACAGATGTTGAGCATTTGGTTTACCACTCGGTATAAAGGTCAGTTTTTAGCTGAGCCCTGCAAAACAAAATTGGTTAACATATACCGAACTTCTTTTCTTTGAGTGGGAGATTCACATACAGCAGGTGGAGACTTGTGTTTAAGATGCCCACATATGGTAAGAATATAGCATGCTGAGAACTGAATGCACACTATAGAAGAATAGCTCCGCAAATTAAAGGTTCAGACATTATTAATACTCTTCCTTGATCTATCTCTTGAACCAAAGAAACAAGAGTTCGGGAAGTGAGCTCCACCTTTCAACAGGTCAAAGATACAACAGTCTGGGACTATTTTTTACAGGTGCCTTACAAGTATTTTGGAGCACTAAGGACATCATCAGTAAACCTGTGAAAAGGCAGATATGCATTTTTAATATCTGAAGAAATTTCCTTTTAACACCTGTCAATCTCTCTGGAAATCCAGTTTAGAGAAAGGTTAGCATTCATTTTAAAGAGCAGACCATTCTTTTATTGTGTACACTGTAAGATTACTTCCACAGGCAGATTCATTTCAATTAGTTTGCATTGGTCCATCACGGAGGGGATGACTGAGAGTAGCTTTGCTAATAATTTGCACCTTGTTTTTTGTATTTAGTTTTTATAGTTATAAATAAAAATGTAACTATTTACAGTACATATATATTGTTACATATAGTTATACTGTAAATGAATACCATAATTATGCTACCATAATACTGAGTCAGAAAAAATAAACCATGACTGTAGGGGATGTTTTAGAAACATAATTTGCTATAATTGTTAAAATCAACATTCATGTGAAATAGGTGAAGATCCTATAGTATTAAGAGAAACAATTTGTTTATGGCTTTAGAAAAGTAAAGTATACAGATTTTGCAAGCTGATTTTCTTCTCATCATTTTATTCTGGCATTTGATTAGTCTTTTTTTCCTAAAATGATTGCCACTGAAGAGGTTGTACACAAAATAAATTAATGATTAATGCTTCAAATGTTTTTATTGCAAATTAACATCCTGTAAATACTAAATATTATGGAATTCATCATTTTGTTCTTTATCAAAAGGAAGAATTAATATTCACATACAAAAATGATACGTAAGATACATTTTCTGCAGACATGCTATGACACAAGTTCAGTGCAGTACATAGTACATAGTATTATAGTAACCTTTGGTCCTGAGCAATAAAGATGCACTGTTAATCACTGTCTACCTACAAAGCACAAGTGCTAATGATTAGCTCAAAGATCTCTAAATTGGTTGAGTTTCCCACTTCGGGTAACATTAGGTGATGAAGGAAATGGAAGGACTGGTTATAAACTAGCACCTTATGCAAGAGACTTCAAAAAGAAGGGATTAATGCAGAGATTAGAACCAAACTAAACTCTGACCACACTTGCTCTGAGATTGAAAAAAGAATATATCACATAAACAAAAAAACAGACTCGCAGCTTAATCATGGCTGGTTTAAGCAAAGAAAGTGGCTCAGTGAGAAACACTACTATGTTCCTCCATGCACTCCAGGCTTTTATACAAGCAAGATATCTTTGAAATTGAAATGTAATTGAAATTTTTCAATTAAAATGATTACAATAGGGTGACATGTTGGCACAGTGGTCAGGCCTGCTGCCTGGCGGCACTGGGACCCTGGGTTCAATTCCTGGGGTGTGATCTGTGTACAGTTTGTATGTTCTCTGTGTTTGTGTAGGTTTCCTCTGGGTGCTCCAGTCTCCTTTCACAGTCCACAGACACACTGGTGGGATAACTGGCTTCTGGGAAAACTGGTCCTGTGTGTGTTTGGGTCTGTGTCCTGTGATGGACTGGCCTTCAGTCCATGGTGCATTCTTCCTTGTGCCTGTTTCCTGCAGAGATCCATCACCTTTTATTGGATAATGTGGTTAGAAAATGGATTGATGATTAAAATGATCCAAATGAAGCCAATATACATCTGAGATTTCAAAGACATTGTATATTCAGACTCCTTACCTAAGAACTATCAGTCATCTGACCCTTCTTGATTCTCCATAATACAAGTTGTGGGTGAACTAAACATTCTATTCAATTGTGATTCTGTGGAGCAATTATTAATCGGAAGAGAGGATGCAAATTTCAATAAATATTCAATGAATGTTAACAGTATCAATGTTGTTAATGGTTAAAAAAAATTGTTGTACACAATACAGTTTAAAAAATGTCAGTACTAACAAAAACATTATCTTTTTTGCTCAAGCTCTGTTTTATCTCACAAACGTCCCACTGCTGAATGACTGGAGCCCTCAGCTGGAGAAACTGCACATGGACCCACTGATGTACATCTGTATTTCTTCATTCTTCACTTAGTCCTTCTTTCTGACTTTAGATTTAGGAGCTGCAGACAGATGAATAAAAACAAGGGTATCTGAAGCTCTGTTTCTACAAATCACTGATATAATGTATGCCTTTTAATATAAACATTACAGACACAGCTGATAAGTCAGCGAGTGAAGTAAGAAAAATCAATTCTCTGTTATCGGCTATGTTGGATGAGCACAGTACAAGAGGTACACAAGAACATAAACTTTCTTAGAAATCACAGATTTCACAGTTGCTTGAAGAGAATTTGCTTTTAAACTGATAAATGATGACGCTGGGCGTTTCCATTTCTGGTCCAGCATAGGTACATGTTTTCTGGTTTCAATTAATTTAATTTAATTATTGATTCTCAAGATGACTGGGAAACTTTAGTCACTGAGGGAGAACAATGTCAGAATTTATAACATCTAAAGGACTGTAGGACCAGGATTTGAGGGAATTACACAACTTTAGTCCCCTGTACACACTGGCACAATGATTCTGCAGTTCTGGCCTCTTACCGTTTGGGTTTTCTTGTTTGTAAAATGTTTTTAACATTTCCACAGCTTCCTCTGCTCTGTATCCTGAAATACACTGAGAATAAACAGTTCTTTTAATTAAGGCAAGGCTATAACTTTGAATCAAATATACAAATAAGCAAGAATATTTATACAACCATATAAATTGTATCTATATAGTATATTACTTATAAATGGACACATTGTACTCATACTTTTTCTGGTTTTCCTATTTTTATGCAACACAGAAACCACTGCCTTTGGTTTTAGCATATCATAACTGAAATTAAATTATTCACAGACAAAAAAGATTTCTTATACCAGATCATTGACCATCGGACTTTTAGTCCAGATTAAAATGGAAATGGACTACTGTACCTTATATGGTGTTCCAGTGTGTGGTAATTCATCTTCAGGGATGTTGAGCACTGACCCACAGCCACCAAACCTCTCATTTTTGCAACCATAAACCACTAGTGGGATTTCTGTTAAAATGTTAAGGCCATTAAAACTTTTCTGGAACAAAAATGTCTGTATTCTCTATATTAACAATTTAATTAAGAAATGATGTATTTTCTCTTTTATTTTTTCTTCTGTATTATCACAACTAGTATACACAACTACTATAGTTAAATCTTATCAAATCCCTCTAAAAAAAAGTATTCTTAAATCTCCCATTTGCTGTATAATTTACTAGGTGTTGTGCCACTTGTGAAATTAAGGAATACTGAAGGTCTGCAATTCCTACCCTTTTTTAACATCTAATCTTGCAAAAAAAGTAAATTGGTCTCCCACCAGTAATATTATAGATGAGTTTCTTTAATTCATGTGATAATTCCTGCATGTCTGCAAAATATAACCTGTCTATAGGCAGTCACAAATGTTTTAATATATCGTATAAACTTAATAATGTAGCATAACGCTAAACAGTTTCATTCAGTACACTTGATTTTCTTCTTCCTTTAATAATGATATAACAAATAATAGTCCTCAGAGAATAACTTTTGCAGGGATTCTTAAATAGTAAAGGAAGCCATCCCTTTGTTTGAATAAAGGATCAGCAGTTTCACTTTAAGCCGGATCATTGTGGTAAATTTTTGCATTTTGCGGGATGTGTATCACAACAGTCTGGATTGGACTAGACTTAAGAGTTACTCAAAGGCGTCGGGCAGGATACTCAATAAACGAAGTGCTCCCGCACACATAATGCACGGCTCCACAGTGACATACAGGACAGTCTGGTCCAACACCTCTCTGGAATCCCTGCCATTGTCACGACACCACTCCAGTACCTGGTCCAACGCTACCATCTCTGCATGCCGTGTTGCCTGCAACACACAAAGGAAAAACAGGTGAATGGACTACTAGAGCCCTATCTTGTTTCTAAGTTTCAAATAGTTAATTAACTTTCTTTTCTCATGTTAACAGGTGTATGTTAACTGGACGCACTGGCAAAATGTATGTAAATCCCAGTCCAGTAACACAGGAGATTTCAGCTTTGAGCCTCACAGAGTTCCTACGCCAATCTCATATGACTTCCATTTGCCATTTTCTGAATATACAGGCATATCACTGAAATAGAACTATGATTTTTCTTACGACATAAAACAGCAGTACAAAAAAACTGATCCTCAGTGAAGAGCTACAAGTACAAATAATCCTACAGCAGACAAGTTGTCTTCTCCACTCTAGTACTTTTAAATTATGTGCATCAATGCCTGGATGAGCCTAGAGGATGGGAAGTGGAACTTACGTTTTTTGTTTCGTTGACTTCATTTCTCCCTTTTCCCAAAATCTCATTGTTGTACACCATGAGACATCCCACAGGCACCTCTCCATTCTCTAAGGCTTCTTTAGACTGGAAAATTGCAAAAACAAAGGGTCAGGGTCTTGTTTCCATCCATCAATCCATTTTCTAAATGCGTTGTCCAATTCAGGGTTGTGAGGGAGCCAGAGCCTATCCTGGTAGGCAGTGGGTACAAGGAAGAACACCTCCAGGACAAGGACACCAGGCACACACACACACACACACACACACACACACACACACACACATATCGTGGGCCAACTGTGCCAGAAGCCAATTAATCTATGGGTAGGTCTTTGTCTGTGAGAGGAAACTGGAGCACCAGAAAGAAAACTCACAGTAACAAGGGGAGAACTCCAGGTCTAGCAAGGAGCCCGGGGTCCTAGAACTGCAGGGCAGCAATGCTAACCACAGAGCCACCCTGGATATTGTTTCCAATTAATTTAAATCTTGAGCTATAAATTGAAAGAGCTATAAAGTTTGTTTGTTTTTTCCTTGCTACCAGTTCATCTTGCCCCAATTCAGACAAAAATACAGACTTCTATTGTTTCATTCTTGGCTACAGTGATAGGGAATAATCCATCTCTTACAGACAATTTGTTCCAGGAAAAAATCAAATTGCACAAACTATACTGTAGAAAGCAAACATGCTGTATCACATTACATTAAATATTTTCACACTATGCCCATTGATGTTTGAGTAGTTATTTAGACAACAGATAAACACGCATTGCGAGCATACTGTACTATAAATACCGTTCTTACCATATCGAAAGCTCTCTGCATCCAGCCCTGTATTTCTTCCGAAGAGGGCTGAAAGTGGTTAGTACTTTTCTCGCCCGGAAAACTTTCTTCATATTCCGTCCCCATCATGGATTACCCTAAAGGTTTGACACACAAAAACTCTGAAAAGGTTAACAAAATATCGAGTAGAAATAATCTTAAATGGGTTAAAACTGTGAGTTGGAAGTACACATCAAACACAAGGCATGTCAATGGCTCCAAAGACTAATACTGTATAATGTGAGGAGATAAACGCATCCAGTTTTTATCAAGATTTGATAAAAGTGACTCTCTGTTGTTGTTTAACGTTTGTTATTAAAAACAGATTTACCTAAAACAATTTTAAAAGCACGGTGAAAATATTTAAAGGTTTTATTCAGTTAGTACTTCGACCGACTAAAACGAAATCACGTAATTTTAACACACTTTTCTTTATATATAATACATTTAGATGTATTTAACACGTCAAACTTTAATAAACTCGAAGTGTTTGAAGTGTGGTAAATGAACCATTCAACTGTATATTGGAGAAAAATGAAAACCAAGAGAGAAACAGTATTTCACATTACACATTACTTACTATAAAACCGGAACCCTGTGTTTCGTCGCAGTTTCACAGGGGGTAGATACTGTTTGTGGGGCAGGCATTGCTAGATGATCACCGATGTACAGAGCGTTGTAAGCGGTGTTTAGCTTATCTAGTTCTCATGTACGATTGTGAAAATAAATCTGTCAACGCGGAAAAAACCTGTAGTCTGGCATCTGCCTCAAGTCGGAGGAAATGTTTATGTCCACGTGGAGTTTCCTTAAACGTCATAAAAGAAAATTTATATTTGCAGGGGCTTTAGTCGGAGGTAAATATTTTCATGTATCGTGTTGTCTTAAATTTGCATTTTAGTCATTCACATTACGCCACTAGCAGCGTCAGTAATATCGAGGGTAAAGGTACTTAGTATCCCATAAAGTTGATCATAATGTAGCACCCCGTATCTGAAGGTGTCGAGAAGTCATGCCTGCTGAGGTGACAACAGTAGTTTGCTCTTCAGGTGTCGACAAAGCCTGTTGTGAATTGCAAAGATGGAAAAGCAAGTATTACATTAGCGTACTGTTAAATCTGTATTATATAGGTTACAGTAACAGTGATAAAGTCAGTTAAGTGATGACAATAACATACAGTACAATTTAATTTATTTTCTTTCTCTTTTTCGAAGGGGTTTACCTACTGGGTAAATATGCGCAGAGGAAAATCAGAGAAATTCAGGAGAGAGAAGCAGCAGAGTACATTGCGCAAGCCCGACGTCAGTATCACTTCGAAAGTAACCAAAGAACGTGTAACATGACAGGTAACGTCAACATGCCTGCATCACATCACCAGAAACATAAGCAAAGATTAAGCTTAATTCTAATATCCCGTGTCTCTGCTACACACAGTTATCCTTCAACGTTTTTTTCTTCAAATTTGAATATATAATAATATCTAATATGTATCAATAGTATACAGAAATAACACAAGAAAGGTTACCAGTGAAAGGAAGCCATTTGCCCCTTCCAGACAGTATGGTGAGAGATTGAACTGAGGATAATATCCACCCATTTCTTGAAAGAAGCCGGGGTAATAGCTTCAACAGTGTGGTTGGCTAGCTTGTTTCCATCAACCTTTTGGGGGAAAAGTGCCTCCTGTTTTTTGTTTTATACTTCCTCGTAGTTTCCACTTGTGCCCTCTGTTTGTTGTTTCATCGTTGATTCTGAAGAAATCCACTGGGGTTGCTTTGTCAGTGATTTGGCGACTGAGTACTAGGATCAAGTCCCCTTGTAGTCTTTTCTGCTCAAGACTAAAAAAGTTAAGCTCTTTTAGTCTGTCAGTGTAGGACACTCCCGTAAGCCCCAGAATGGATCTGGTTGCTCTTCTCTGGACGGATTCAAGAGCAGCAGTATCTCTTTTGTAATGTCTTGACCAAAACTGTACATAATATTCAAAATTAAGCCTTACTAGTTCATTGTGTAGTTTTAACATAACATGCTTTGATTCAAATCCTACTTTTAATTATTTATTCTTATATTTTGACGCTTTTTTATCGCTTACCTAGATGATGTAATTGATGTCTACATAAACACTTCAGTCTTCTGCCAGAAGTAATCTCTTCTAACTCAGCATTTCTCTTTTTGTATTTCGAGTTGAGATTTTTACTATGCGCAGGTAGTATTCTGCACTTGTCTACATTATATATCACCTGCCAGATATTTGACCAGTTTTGTTTTTTATCTGAATCTTATTTTAATTATATTTGCTTATCTAGTATTTGCAAACCGTACTACTTTGGTTGCATCTGCAAACCTGATCAGTTTACTAACTATACAGAAACTAGATAGATGATATAACTTTGGAAGAGCTGTATTCCTAGTACAGACCCTATAGTGTTATAATTGCATCACCCCAATTTTAGCCTTTACTCCCTATCATTTACTCCCTCTCTGTTTTCTATTAACCAGTTCTCAATGCAAATACACACATTTCACAGAATGCCTACTACCTATAATTTGAAAATTAAACATTAATGGGTAACTTATGGATAAAAAACCTGACAGCATAAATATTCGATGATATTCTCTGTGTGTGTAGATTACTTTTGTTCATTATTCAACTATCTCTAACGAGTTAGCAAAGAAAAAACAAATTTTCTAGACTATCTGTAATTATTTTCCCATGTAAGTGGTTGTCTAATTTAGTAAGATTTTTTTTAACTAACTTCATATGCAATAAAGGTCAGACTTATTGGTCTGTAATTACTTGGTTCTGTTTTTAAACAATGGGCCCTATGTTAGCAATTCTCAACTCCATGGGAACTACCCATGCTTGTACTGCTTCTACTTGCTCACAGTGTATTGAGCTGTGGTGAACATAGGACAAATTTGTTTTGACCACTTAAGCAGGTGATTTGTTTGGTTAGGTAGTGTAGTAAACATAAATGAAAAAAATGAATATCCCAATGCATCCTTATCTACAATGTGTCCTTGTAGTTCTCAACAACCACAGTGCCTCAGCTGAACCAATTAACGTACAAACCTGATCAAAGCACACGTTCTCAATTGCTGTGCATTCAAATTACGAAGACTAACTGACGCGCATAACAGCAGAGTTACAAACTTCTAGCCTGATCTCAGAAGCTAAGCACGGCCAGGCTTACTCAGAACCAGGCTGAAAGACTTCAAAGTCAGGGCTTTCATTCCATCTGAGCTCGACATCTCCAGTGCTGAGTATCTGCAGTATCTTCAGCAGACAGAATGTTAAGCTGCCTCTCCTCACCTTGCTGAGCCTTATTTCTGTCGAAACAGCACTTAACATGCAGTCAGTTTCTGATCAGCAGCCACTCTCACGGTTAGCTGCATTTCCTTCTTTAGTTGGCTCCTCTCAGATAACGCACCGGAAAGCAGGCAGTTGTGAAACCCAGGAACTGGTGCTGCACTGGTATCAATTCCCAATCCTATGTGGCCTTTAAAAAGATTTGAAAGCAAATTTATAAATAAATCAGTGCCTCCAGAGTAGTGCTTTACCGGGAATGGTGCTCATCTTCTGACCTGTACTGTCACGGATTTTGATCCATTATTATCTGTGTCGCTGGTCCAGAATTCCTCAAGCAGGGACACTATGATTAAGGACTGGAATGTAGTAGAAACAAGAAGAGAGAGTGTTCCCCAGGCAGAGCTGGGAACCTCAGCTCTAAAGCTGACCACAGTAGGTTGTACAGCAGGTTACTGCTCTAAGTGCTGTGGGTGGGCCACTAGATGGCACTCTCACCTCCCTGTTGACCAGAATTTGCAGCGCTCTGGTAAGGGGACAGGGGACACTGTGCTGTTGTACAGTATGTGCCATCCTTGAAACATTAAAGATGTTCATAAGACTAGAGTTGCTCGCCCTGATGCTCTGGCTAAATTTTATCTAGGCTTCCACAGTCCCTCCATCCTAAACTTAATGTCTAAACTGTGTTAACACACCAGTAGGGCAAGTACCCCATATTCTGTACACACTAGTAAGCCTACATTTAGAATATTGTGTACATTTTTTTGTCACCATGCTGTAGAAAAGATATAGCTGCTCTGGAATCCGTCCAGAGAAGAGCAACTAGGTACGTTCCAGGGCTTAAGGAAATACACCACACTAGCACAGAAAAGACTAGGGGAGTATCAACAATTATTCAAAATCCTCAAAGGCACTGACAAAAGTCAACTCAGTGGATTTTGTTTTCTGAAAGAGCAGTGAAACATGGACTGGAAGACATAAGTGGAAACTGCATGAAAGTGCATTTAAAACTAATAACAACAAGCAGTTCTTTACATCCAGGGTTTTTGGAGTATGGTAACATGGTTATCCAGCCATGTGGTTGAAGTCAATACTTTTTTTTTTTTTTTCAAGAAACAACTGGATGAGATTCTTGGATCATTATGTTCTTATGTTCTTGATGTGATTTGTAATTTTTTTATATTGAAAGCACTATATAAGAATTATTACTATGTATATTTTTAAGAGGAATATTAGTCTAGCCAAGGTTTGTGACCCTGGGAAATTTGGCATAAGATTTTTCCCAGGAAAATACATTTGCTTTCCACGTTGTTACCATATTGCTTTGTCTTTTTTTGTTGTCAGTGTTATCAATGCTCCCAACTCTAAGAGATGCCATTATACAACACCTGCATTCAGAAAGCCTCACAGCTTTGCTAAAGAACAAGTGAGTAATTCAAGATGTGTCATTTTGTTTAAAAATGAGTAAAGCGCATAACAGGGCTGACAATGTTCTTGTCATGCAGATGATAAAAAGCTATTGTTTTCTGTTTTAGGCCAGCAAATAAGTTAGAAATCTGGGAAGATCTGAAGATAATCAGTAAGTTCCATTCTTTCCATTTAATACTGGGTATTATTATTATGTTGTAAGTATTGTACAATTACTGAATTTTACTGCTCCTACACGATTGTACAAAGAGTTACATATTCTGTTTCTGAAGAATGCTAATGCTACATTACATGAGAGGACTCTGTTTGGCCCATCTTGGTAAAACAGGTTGGGGTGTGGACAGTAACATACAGAAGATTTTACTTTAAATTGTAGCTTTTGTTGTTATTAGTACAAAGTTAAGGAATGTTGAATGACTTTTTAAGGGGGGTTCTGAATTAGAATTGTTCGGTTATAATGCCACAGATGGTAGCTTCACACCATGAGCTCCTCAGCTAAGCACTGAGGATGAATGACTGGGCTTGTCGTTGGCTGTACTGAGCAGGCGTGCTGTAGCCTACAGCACTAGAAGGGTTTTTTTCTGTCTGCCTTCGATTCCTTAAAATCTGAAATGACACTTATTCCCCGATTGAGTTTGACAGCCTGGGGTTAATTTCCCTTTCCCACTCTCTGCCAGGTTTCGCTAGAAGCATAGTAGCCGTTTACAGCACCTGCATGCTGGTTATTCTTCTACGAGTTCAGCTCAACATCATTGGGGGTTACATATACCTAGATAACTCTGTCAGCAAGAATGGAACGGTAGGTATTCTTTTGTGAAGCAGAGCCTCCGGTATGGACCTAAGGCATGTCGAGAACACAGCACTGGATTGATTTGTCCTTTGGTACCCTTTCACAAATTTGTGTTGCTACAGATGTTTCTCAACCCCACATACTGTGTAATATGCTTGGATGAGAGGGCTTGTTTATCACTGAACCTGTTACATAATGCAATGTTATCCCCTTTAGACCTGTATAGCATTAAACCTACCTGTGGAGGGAGGCTGCATGATTCTTTACTGTCTGGCAAAGTGACACTCAGTGGTCCTGAAGCCAGATGCCTATGAAAGGTCTGATCAGATCCCAGCAGGGGTGCCAAGCTGCATGCATCACACTTATAACGCTATTTTTGTAGTGTCAGGTCTGTTGACACATCTAGGAAGAGCAACAAGAATTAAAAAAAGCAACAATGCAATCAGCGTATTGCAGGTATTCTACCATTGTAGCAGTTTATTAAGTAGTGTTTACAGAATGTAAAATAATAAATAGTTTATTCTTTCCCACTGCATTGTAGATCTAATGTAATTATTCGGACACATTATTATTATTATTATTATAAAAACTGAAGTTGCGATTATTATGTACATTTTTCATTCTTTTGAGAAGACATTTCTCATTCAGGGTGGAAACAAATCTAACACACTCTGGTAGTGATCAGTATCTTGTGCTTGAGGGAGCGATGTGACAAAACACTTAGAAGCTGAGGTGTCAATTGTAAAGCTGCTCGCCCTGTTATGGAATGAGCCATTTTTATTAAAATGTTCTTAACTGCAAAACAGATTTGGCCAGAGGCATGTTTAAAGGGATGATGCATGACAAAAATAAACTACTGAAAACAAGTAACACCCAGAATGGGGTTTGATAACATCTTGCTTTGTGCTGTGCTGGTTCTGGGTAATGCTGTTCACACACAAAATGTGACCCTACAGCCCTGGCTGTAGCCTGTGACCTATGTGACAGAGGTATAAATCATCACACCTCTCAATTCCAGACCCCTTTGGCCCCCCCTGATGTTCAGCAGCAGTATCTTTCCAGCATTCAGCACCTCTTAGGGGATGGTAAGTGAGCAGTGCCCTTTTTAAAGAAGTGGGTTGCCAGAAGGTTTCTTACGTGCTTAATTTTGTCCTCTGCATTTGAATTTGAATTTGAGATTCCAGTCTGTCTGAAATGTCTCAAGTCTTTAGTTAACATGACAATATGGCTTTCCTTTCTCCACAGAGTACCTAGTATTCTGTATATAAGCGTATATATTCTGTTGTGTGTATATGATTTTATGATTAAACCAGGTTCTCCTCACCACTTTGCCTTTCCTGGGAACGGTGCCCCGTGACACTTAAAGGGGCACCATGAGAATTGCTTTTATCTTGTTTCTAATCATATAATACACACTTCTGATTTCTGTTCTCCTTTATCTTCTCTGAAGGGTTACATGAACTGATAACTGTGGTGAAGCAAGCTGTACAGGAAGTGCTAGGAGGGTAAGTCTGACTGCATTCCTTGTTAACAGGCATGAGGGGAAGACTGGTTTCACTTTAACATGAGCCTTAGTCATTAATGTTCTTATCTACATTAATATTATGTAGTCCCAAATCTGCATCTGTGAAACTACTCTTAACTTTTAAATCTTGTTTTATAAGGAGTAGTTTATATTTTAGAGCCTTGTATTTTAATGATGTTGTACCTTGTTTTGATCATTATATCATGAGGTATTATTGCATCACATGATTTACTTATTTATATCACTATCCATTATGTAGGTTTGTACTGTTACCATTTTGCAGTTTATACATGTAGATTATAAGTCAGCTATGATAAGGCATCATGTCAATTATAATAAAGAATAAGCAAGACCAACTGCTCTCAATATTTAGTCATGAGAGCAAAGTGGATATCAGCAAAAAGAAAAATATTAGTCATTAATTGTTTTTCAAGTTATTTCTTTCTCTTTCCATCTACAGTTTTTACTTGGCCATCGAAAAAGTACAGCTGTAATTTTCCTCATTAGGTAGAATTTGGAAACCTAGTGTATTTGGCCTACAGATTATGATGAAGCTTATTTTTTGGAAGCAAACATTGTTTGAAAAAACATTTAACACAATGTGAGGAAGTAGTGCAGGTTTTCTCCATTGGGAATAATCCTACTCAGTTCCTGGAAGTAAATATAGTTTGAGGCATCTGTTCCAGTCAAATGCTCACAAATATGTTGTTAACATAAGCAATGTGATGTCTCCTGGTTCTCTGCCAGAGTGTCATTATAATGCTATTTACACAAGACCACTTTAATATCTATGTGTCTATAATAACCAGCCCTTCACATATTGCATTTACTGTCTCAGATAATTTCTTTGTCAATTGCCCTTGTTCTGACTCATTTTTATTATGTTTGGAAAAGAGGTTTGCTCTTCATGTTATTGGAAACGTAGAGTAGTGGTAACAAATATACAGGGCAGAAAGTAACTCAGTGTTACATGACACTTGTTTTCCTTTATTCTTCACCACAGCTATACAATAAATTAATAATCTGACGAAAATGTAGACAAAACAAATATTTGTTAACCAAAAAATAAATACAACTATGCAACACACACTACATACAGATATGCACAGTGGGTTTAACTTATTTTAGACCAGAACATTCCTGTAATCTAAATATATTATAAAACAATTTAAGAGGCCAAAAAGGGAAAAAAATGCATCCTAATAAAAATGGATCCTACCCAGGATTAAATCTCCTTCTCCAAAACACAGATGCCCGTAAGTGAATGGGAACAAATTTCACTGTTCTAGCAGTTCATCGCTAAAATACGCGAGACATTTTTAGCCTCAGTATTCTACAATATACTGTAGGAAATCTCACTTCACTTCCTGGCCTCACTTCCTTCTATCTCATTGTCTTCTTGCCTTTCTCTTCTTTTGGTTCCTGTGTGCTGTGGTCCATTCCTATGGAGACTAGCTAATGACCTTTCTAGGAATACCTCAGTCATTGTTGAATGTTTAACCCTTAATATGTTGGTATTCATGATTTACTGTGAAGTTAATTTACCAAAGTCTATTATTAGGAACACCCTCAGCAGCAGAGTATTCTGTGTTCCAAAGTTACTCTGGAGTTAATCAAGCTGGGAAGTGCAAGTGTTGCTCCTCGGCTGGGACTTTCCCCCAGTCATGTAAAAAGTGGAAATGGAGTTGATTTCATCCTGTAAAAGAAATAATGAGTTTATTTCTATGCCATGCTTTGTTCATAGCCATTTTCTGTGTCTTTGTGTTTTATTTTAGGGTTTCTTTGAAACAGAGCCTGTCTCTTCAGGAGCTGGAGCAGCACATTAACCAGATCAGAGCCCTCGTCGAAGGAGGCAACATAACTGGGCACCAGCGGCCTCTCTCCTGGTATATGATGCCGGATGAGGAGAACACATTGGCTTCACAGGTTAAGTGTTTACTGGCTCATTAAAGGTTATAAGATCATAACAAAAATTTAAAAAAACAAGAGGAGGCCTGTTTGCCCATCTTCCCAGTTTGGTAAATAGTAGCTAACTGATGTTGCATAAAGAGGTTCTTCCACTTCCACATAGTTTATAGTTGCGTTCTCTGGTTTGTGTTTCCCTGTGTGTCAGTGGTTTGTGTGTCTGTGTTACCACAGACATTTGGTGTCTGTGCTTGGCTGAGGAGCCAGTGATGAGAAGCCGCCATCTGTGGGTTAATAGCTAAACTCTCAGTCAAAATCCCTCCTAAATGAAGAAGAAGTCCACTGATTTGACTTTGAGTATAATGAACGTGAGCATTAAGCAGGTCTTGGTCACTCCTGCTGCTGCCGTATAAGGCTCTGTCCTAGCAGTCTTCTGCAATTCCAGTGTCTTGCAAAACAAAACAACACAGGGGAAGAATAGCTTTATTACTAATTAATTATGTTTTTATTTAAAGCAACTTACATTTGCACGCATTTATGCACTAAGTTAACAATTAGTGGCCCTTGTTTTCATGCCTGCGCATCAGTGTTCAATTATAACAACTTAACCTTGAGGATGGTTTTGAAGTTGCTTCACAATAACTATGAAAATCTAATCCATTGGGTTGTACTTGCAGGCCTGTGGTTTAACGGAGAAGGACGTTGCAACGCTAAAGCTGCTAAATGAAACCAGAGACATGTTGGAAAAGTAAGTGTAGTAAATTCAGTCAGTTTCAAAAGCTGTCCTTGACTGCAGAGGATGTAGAACTGTAACACATCCTTTCTTAATGAGTAATGACTGTTTGTGTCTCTGTTGCTCGAGATCAGAGATATAAGGTTTTAATCTGTGCCTAAAGAAAGGTTTCTAAAAAAAAGGCAGAACAGAAAATTTGAACCTTGTCACCTCTTTACACAGATTGGAGGGAAAGATTGTACTGGTCCTAATGTATGTGTGTGTTGAGCCTGATCTCTGCCATATTAATTCCTATTAAAAAGCAGTTAAAGCAGTTTTTTGCTTGTTCCTGTGTCTTCCTAGTCCAGACTTCAGCACTGTTCTGGGCACCTGTCTGAGCCGAGGGTTTAGTCGTCTTCTGGACAACATGGCGGAGTTCTTCAGACCACCACAGGGAGATCCGGCCCGGAGCAGCACAGCAGACAGGTCAGGCTGACAGATAACAGGCAGATCCACCTCGAGGCACGCAGGGCAGAGTTGTTCTTAATGATGTACTACGTATAACAATATAACAATGATACACCATGAGTAAGAGAACTGTTCTGAGCCATGTCTGACATGTCAGTTTTAGCTGGTGAAGTTTCTGTTTCCCGAACGCTGTGAGAAAAAGTTAAAATCTCACATGAAAGCCACTTCTTCCTCTACACGTGTAGTGCCTTGCAAAAGTGTTCAGCCTCTTCCAATACCATGTTTTTAACTGCAATGTGAATTATTGTATCTATGAATAATTAAATGCCAGCAACACTGCAAAGAAAAACCACTCAAATCATAACAAAAACATGTTAATTGCATATGTATTCAACCTATGATCAATACATGGTAACTTGAATAAGTCTCTACCAAATTTGCACACCAGGAATGGATTAATGTTTGTACATCTGTACATTAGTTTTATACTGATTTGTTCCCAGACTTCAGTTTGGGTCATATTTAATGGAAAGTATGCTATTTATGCCACTGTCATGTGTACCAGCATGAACACTCCCACTGTATCTTCATATTTACCCTGTTGACTCTGGGTTCTTGAGGCATCATTTCTGACCATAGAGTGACCAGCAAGCACTTCATGTTTTTTGTGGTTTGCCTTAACCATCTGCTACCTGATCCTGGAATAGAGCAAACCTGTTTGACAATGTTAGCAACGATTGCCTAGGGAGGCTCCTGTACTTTACACCCTTTGACAAGCAGGGAGAGGTGCAATTCTGTCAGTTTCTTTGTGTCAAAGTCAGGTGCATGCTACCGTGAACATGGAGTCGCTAGTTCCTCAGTCTCGCAATTTTCTTTCAGTTGCAGCAGCTTTTAACTCTAGTGCATTCACTCAGTGAACCGCTTCAGAATCAGCAGTAAAATAAATACAAATCAGAAAACACTCATTGAAACCATGGGGAAGTATGTTTAAAACTGAGAATGCAAGGAGTTTGTGTTCACTCTGCAGGTTATGGAAGGTTGTTATTAAATGTTTTTAAAGCTTAAACCCTGGTTTGTTTCTAGACATGGCTGAGATCTTGAAATAAATTAGCTGTTAAAAAAACGAATGGGCTAAATAGTTCAAATGGCCTCCTCTTGTTTACAACGTTTCTTACATTCTACTTGACCTTCTAGATAGAAATAGACTTAATCCACCAACATCATTTTTAAAATAAGGGATATATTCATTATTATGGTCAAGAAATGACTGGTAGATTGAATTTGGATTGGTGAACAAAAACTTTCATAAGCGCTACAAGTGAAAGGAGCCCATTTAATGATATCTTGTTTGGTTCTTAATAGCTTAATACTGTAATTCAAAAATTTCATCTAACCATTTCTTGAGGGATCACATGGAGTTTGTTATAATACTGGGGCTAGATAGTTTCATCCAGACATTATACAGCTATATGCAGTACGTAAAGAATTACATGTTGTACTCTTTTCTCTTAATGTACAGATGTTTCGCCACACTCTTCTTTCAGTGGTTTATTCTGAAATAGTCCAGTGTGCTTTTTAACCATACATTTTGAAGCAAATTTAAAAATAACCTCTAATGATATCTGGTGCAAGATAGGGTAGTAGTTTGACCACATTTCTTTCCACTTACATTTCTGAAATCGTTTGAATATCTGACGTTTTATGAAATACCTCTGTTTTGCAGTCTCTCTCACGTCAGTCTTCCATTGGCAAAAATCATCCCCATTATAAATGGACAGGTACACTCTGTGTGCAGTGAGGTACCAAGCCACTTTGTTCAGGTAACAAATGTCCTGTTTACGTATTTCACACCATGTTAAAAATAATAAATGTTAATAGTTGCTTGACTGACATATACTTTATAATCATCATTATCTTAACAATTGCAGTTTTTCAAATGTAGGGTATGAAAATTAATCACATTTCTGATTAATAATCTGGAGTTTAAGAAAACTGAAGCAATTGGTTCAAAGGAGATTGTCTAAGGACTAATGGTAACTACTGATGCATCATTCTAATGTGGAATTTACGACATACTTGCACGTTGCATTAATTAAAAAATATTAACAAAGATCTAAATCAATTGCACCAAAATGGATCTGGTTTTAATGGATCCGAATTCATACTGCAATGGATTAGGTGTTTCATTATCAGAAAAACATGTTCTACTACGGTGTTTCCCATATCCCAGAATCAGAAAACAAAAGGTGGTACACTAATAAAAAGACATTGTCTCAAAAAACTTGTAACTGGCACTGTGTGGAGATACTGCTAATTTCCCTTTTATATTTGTGCTTTTAGGATCTCCTTATGATTGAGCAAGTGAAGGAATTTGCTGCCAATGTCTACGAAGCTTTCAGCACACCACCTACACCCACACATGAACTCCAAAAATAAGCCCCCACAAGGACTTGGAGAGCTTAGCTGTTTAGATGTGCACCTGACACAACAAAGGCAGTTACATTCCTGACAGATCCACACATTGCAGGACCTCCTGTAGCACCGCATGAAATTTATTTATAAAACAAAAGTAATTTCCATTTCTGGAATGAAAAAAATCATCCTCTGCCTTTGGAACAAGACGAAGGATCTCTGCACTCATCAGCCTTCTCTGCTTAAAGCATTGAAGGTGCTGTGTCCTGTTTTTCCTGGGAAAAGATGCTGCAATGTAATCATTCCTTAAGCATTCTAGGAGAAGGAAGAGGAATGCCAAGACTGCTCTTCTTGTATGAAGACAAGGGTATTGGATTCAGAAAGCTAGGGAGCTCCTCTGTCCAGTTCTTGTCCTCTCCAGTACCTTCTCCCATGACTTTACTTACGTTGATAGGAAGAGACTTGATGGAGTTCAGTCAAAAAAATATTTTACAGCAGCATCTTAAAGAGTGTGTTCTATTGCAGATGTATAAATGGAGAAAATGTGGAATTACTTTTAAATGTAAATCAGAAGGGCGGATTTAGGTTCCTGTCTCCCTTTCTAAAATCACAGCAAGCACACAGTAGATGTTGCTGGACTATTAATCTACAGGAGTTCTCCAGTCCTGTTATGTACCTGGATTCTCTTTTAACCTCAAAGGGCCTAAAATGCATGTGTCACTACTTGGAACTGGGCAGCCTGGATTGCCCTGTCCTAGCAAAGAAACAGAGGTCCAGTTTCATGATTCTTTAATTGGGGATCTGCTCACTGCTTCTGTACTAAATCTACTGTAATACCACAACTGTTTAAAGGCGTTGTGTGTTAAACATGACCTCTGTTTTACCATGATCATAATTACTAGATTCAGCCAATTTGGGTTTTTCTTTTGTTAGAAACAATGCATTTTGTTGGGAAAGGAGGCAGGCAGAAATAACATACAAGTGATGGTTATTGCTCTCTGATTCTATTATACAGTATACATTTAACATTGGTTTCTGGACATCAGGTGTGCAGCTAATTGTTGTGGCCACTGTGTATTCACAGCTATGTGAGAAGACATCAGTTTTTTATTTTTTTGGAGCTGGGATGTTTTTTTTAGTCCTGTTGTTTCTCTTTAAAGTGGCTTCAGTGATTATTTGTAAATGTGGTGTGCAGTGGCTATTTGAAGCTACTGTATATGGTTGCTGTAAAATTACACCCTATATGGATGATGTATTCAGATGTATAGTGTAATATATGTTTCCTTGTCAAAGATAGGTAATGTGAAAAAGTTGGCATTTTTATGACAAAAGACCAATCAACCTGTTCATCTTAACTCACCTTGGTATTATTTACATTTATTTCATATGTACTGGTCTTATTTTATTATCAAGAGCAATGAGACCTTACCCAGTTGTAGCCTGTTTTGGATTAATTTAATGGACAATTCAGTGACAGATCTATTAATTGAGCAAATACATTTCCATTGATGATATTTAAATAACCATGATGTTGACTATCAACTATGTGAAAACTTGTCAACCTACTTATCCTGTAGGTCTTATAAGTTAACATGTCTTCTAACATACCAGGAACAGTACAAAAAGGTGTAAGAAACATATGATTACTATAGGACCAACTTAAAATGTTTGTCCTAAATCAGCCCTTTCTAGTCACTTAAATTCACAGTAGAATAAAACTTTACTGAGATAAAAATAAAATGAACAGAAAATTAGTCTCACTGCCGCATTAATGCGTGTTTTTTTTTGTATCCCAAGTTTTAGTGTCTTGGAACTTCAATAAAATAGAAACCTAAGGGCTGTAAATAAAAATTGACAGGAGCTGTGGTTTCCTCACCCTTCCTAAAGATAGGCAGGTCAGGTTACACTGGCTGTCCTCGCTTGCCCTGGTACCCATTAGTTGACCACATGATAGCATGATATTCTATCATACATGGCATATAGAAAAAGATACAAACAAAACAGGAATTCACTCAGCTATAACTGGATCTGTTGTTTTGTTCTGACTGTAGTCCATGTTGCCCTATAAATAGCCCCAGTGTTTTTAATTCAAACTGAGTTTTAGCTCAGATTTTAATCTGTAGTACATTTTACTTCTTAGTAGAAGAATGACTGGCAATAGTCAGTGACCTCATTCTCAGCTTGCAAGAATTAGAAAGCATTTACCCTTCACTGAAATGAAACTGTATGACCTTTCACTGATTTTGTATTTAATTGGTGCTAGTTCTCAATAAATACTTAATTTAAAACTTTTTTTTTTCAGAATTCAGCTCAATGTTCCAAATGAACCAGAAAGTACACTTAATTGTAGGATTGAAAGGGGAAAAAACCCTCTGAGGTCGCTTTGATAATTTCATAGTAATTCACTACACAACCATCATTTGGATTAGAGTTTTTTGCCGAGTCCTAAACAAAATTAAAGTGCAGTACAATGCTAAAAATAAACGAAGGACATAAAGACAGTGTTTTGAAATACATCATTAATGCAAAAAGTGCAGCTGAAATTTACAGTAAAATCTTCCCATGGCAACTGAGGTACCCAAGGGCTTTGTGACAACCTTACACCTTAGAAAGGCACACTATAATGAAGAATGGCTGAAAAACTGCTTATAATGCCTTCACGCCTTATAATTAGTCTATTTTCAAATCATTTGAGCAAAACAAAAATTCTTACATTGAGTTATCGGTTCATACTGGTTACATTTAAAAAGGGTATAGAAATATAAAACATAAAAATATGGACTGTATTTGTGATTTATGATTCTAAAAAGGTAGTTTAACAGCATACCAGCATTTCACTAGTGATTGTAAAATCAGTGTTTTAATTTATACAGACATTATTCAGAGCAGACACCATAGGACAGACTGTACAGGCATGTTGAAACCAGATTACAAAATAAAAATAAAAAAAATAAAAAATTCCCAGATTGCTTTTTTGTGGGCCTTCATGTGGCTTTAGTTAGTTTGAGGGTCCAAGCCCAAAGACAAGGCATCTCACTGTAAGACAGCTGAGGCAGAGTGATTTGTAGCCCATTTGACTTCAATGGCTGCCACTTCAGTGGCTGGGAATAACCAAGCAGTTGGACCTGAAGAAAAATAATGAGTGAGTTTAATTGATAGACCATTACACATCCTCCAGGCACATATTCAACAAGATCCATAACATTCTTGTAAAAGGAAGGGAGGACACGAGTAAAATTACTAACAATGGCAGAACTGGACATCATAATAAACTGACACTGTGCCATTTGCTCCATAATTACTTATACACTGTAGATGGCATTCAGAATGTTATCCTTTTTAGTTTCTTACTGCAAGACATGCATAAACCATAGATCTGGGAAACTCATTTGTATAATGTTCTCCTACAATAATATACTGTATTGTGGCTAACATTAGGAAACAAAAAGCAACCAACATTATAATTAAAGTAAATTATCATTAGATCTCTGTGTACAATTCTAGCACTATTATGAACGAATTACACATATAACACTATGAAGGTGCAGGTAACGCAAAAGATTGGTGGATATCTACTTTCAGATTTTTTTTAACTTTGCATTTTAACAATGCATGAAATATATGTAAAGTTATTAAATGGTTTTTAAAATAAAGTTTTGTAAAAATGAAAAATGTGTGATTTCATTCCTATTTCACTCTCAGTGATAGCTGGGTAATTACATCATCACACATTTTGTAAAGATGAATCGTGTCACAGATTAAAAAACTGCAGGAGAACAAACCTGTGGTCCAAAAGCTTTGGAGATGTGTTTTCCCTTAATGTCAGAGAGGAATGTGAGCACTAAAAATAAAACAGGAAACCATGGAAATACAAAAAGGAAGATGCCATACCAGCCATGGTATCTTACCTCTGTTTTTTCCTCAGTTACTAAGGGTTCGCCAAGAACAAGAAGATCCGACTTGGGCCACTCTAAGAAAACTGCATAAACAGCATTCTCCTGAGGCTTTGCTGTGTACCTGTTAATAATAAAAAACTATAAATGGCCTAGAATTCTCCTACCACAAGTTCAAGTTTAATAAGAGCAATTACAGGCAGGGGAGAGCATGTGGTGCAGTGGTTAGCATCGCTGTCTTGCAGCACTGGGGCCCTGGGTTCGATTCCACACCTGGGGTGCTCCTATTATTCTCCCTGTGTTTGTGTGAGTTTCCTCCAGATGTTCCAGTTTCCTCACACAGTCCAAACCCATAATGCTAAGTGAGGTTCCTGGTGTGAGTGTGTGCGTGTTTCTGTCTGTGTTGGCCCTGCGATGGACTGGTATCCAATCCAGGCTATATCCTGCCTTGCAGATTGTCAAATCAAGGGCTATTCTCATGTACTGTATCTAGTGAAACAATAAAAAAATGCCAGGGGAATTTGAGAGGACAGGGATTTATTTATTTCCAGCTACACCTCCTTTGAAACTAGAATTTGAATTAATGTTGTTTCTGAAATACAGGATCTGGATATTTTCTACAAATTGCTGAGATTGTAATTACTGCATTTTTGTTTTTCGGACAGCATGCAAGTGTCGGCTGAGATGGCAAAAGAAAAAAGTGCATGTACTGTAAAGCAAAGTCATTCCTGAAAGAATGCATCTTGAAAAAAGGTTTGTAACACACAACCATCTAACCTTTTTCACTTTCATATGTAATTGGAACAACATATGTAATTGGAACAGCAGTTCTAAAGCAGTTCTTGCCTTTGTGCAACTGCTCAAATAGACTTAATTAACTCACACCTCCTATCAGAATTTAACCGGTCATTACCTAGAATTAGAAGTGTTTGATGACTTTATTTTTCACTACATTGTAAACCCACTATGCCCACACTGAAAATAATGTGAAAAGCTGTTCTGTATGATCTGAGGGAAAAGAAAGTAAACTGTGATCAAGAGAAAGCAGAAAAAATGTAACTGGTGTAGCAATGACTAAAATAAAATTGTTGTGTTGAGGGAATAGTAACAACATTTGCCATGATAGTACAAATCAACTTGTTGATTATTAACCCCATGATAAATTATGACCATGTGTAAGTAGAAACAAGTAACATGAATGCACTACTTTCAGCTGTTATGTCGCCTTTAAGCTTTTGTAATGCTTTCCACAAAACACATGTAGATTATGCCCTAGTGTACAGTAATAAGCTTTTGAAAAATCACCCTTGAAAGTACATTAGGAAGAAGCCAACTGGGGATCATACAAATTCCAAAAACTCCTCTCCCCCAGAAGAAACCCACCAGATTCCGGGGGTGATGGAGTCATTCTGAGCCCTCCAGGCTGTTGTGTTGTAAATGGCTTCCCCATTCACCTTCAGCCACTGGCCCATTTGCCTCAAGCGCTCCTCAAAAATGGGTACTATCCGCCCATCATGTGTAGGTCCAACATTCATCAGCAGGTTACCTCCACAAGAGACAGTCTCTACCAACGTCTGCAGCACATCAAACGAAATATCAGGAACCAGGCAGAAGGCCTACAGTGACGTACTGTATGTAGCACAGTTTCATAAAAATGATTCAATGATGTCAAAGGTTACTCCCAATAATGCAAACTTTCTTAGATGTCTTGGCTTACATTGTTCCAGACAGATAAATATTTCTAAGTTATTCATTTTCTCTAGAGTACATTTTTCAGTTGTTTTTCCCATTTATTACAATTTGTTCTCATAAATCATGCCAAACATACAGTATTTGAGTTCAATATAAAGAAACCAAAATGAGATAGCAAATAGTGCAGCTTTTCTATCTCCACACTGACATTCTAGACTTTCTGCTGGAAATGATGGGTTTATAGAACTAACACCCCTTAGGTCTCCAAAATCTTCTCTGTACTTATGTGCATCCTGTGAGGAAATATGGTACAGACACACTGGAAGCTCATTTTAAACACGTCTTATTTCCTATAATCACATCATAAAAAGAGAAACACTGAAGGAGAAGCTTTTTTCAAATTGTACTCATAAATATCATAACTGATCAAGGGAATTAACTAATTTAATCACTATATAAATGCCATCCATTTTTATGAAAATTTCAACTTTATGTAAAATAATGTAATATAAGAAATTACAATTAACATATTTCTAGAGGTCAAACATGAAAAAATAATTCAAAGACAGGTTTTTATGAAGCCTTAATATTGTACTTTAACTATGAATTATTTGAGAACCAATCTAAGGATTTCACCCAAACTAATGGAGAAAAAATGGGAACTAGGCCTACTGTGAAAAGCTACAGATCACATTACCTTAACCAGCTGCTCAATGGTGAGAAAGTCTTTCAACTCTGCATCTCTCCTGTAACCCCATGACTTGTGGTCAATGGTCATGCAGTTCTCCCACTTGTGCTTCAGGAGGTGGCCTGGATTGTAGCGGTCACTGCATGTGTAGTAGCCACCATGCTTGCATATAGAGCCATAGCCCCAGCGATCATTTGTCACTATTGTCTCACGAACTGGGCTGGAAACATTTTCAAAATTAGGATTCAACATACAGTATATGTATCCACACCCATGATGTCTGCTTATCCTCACGACACTTCACTATTTCCTATTCTGAATATACGGTAGTCCTGAATTACTGTACAATGAAGGTGTTCCACTCTAAGAGTTTTAATTTTAAGTTACATCTGTGAAGAAATACAATAGTGATAGTTACAAGGTGAGGCTTCCAATTTGTCTGGAGATAAACTTTAAACTGCATTGTTAGGAAAGGGAAATGTTTTTTTTTAATGTGAACAGCTGTTTAAATGTAATTCAAAGCAAATATGAAAATCTATGAGTACAGACACCAAAACTGGTATGTCCAGTCTGTACGATTAATACATTTCATACAGCTGTCATGCAACCAATGCTGAGAATCTCACTGTGATGTCGAAATACTAATCTCCATCTTCCAACCCCCATCTCCTAACCTGGTTTCTTTTAGTAGGTTCTTTCCTATCAAAACACTTCCTAAAACCTGACTTTCACCCTTTCCTCCAGAAAGACGTACCTTTCATTGTAGAGCCAAGCCAGGAACCCTGTGCTGTTCCAGTAAGTGTCAGGTGCATCTCCATCCCCGTCGGACCAGAGGACTTCTGGCTTGTATTTGTTCACGATTTCATACAGCTCAGGCAGAGTCTTGGTCATGGGGAACTTGTTGGTCTTGAAGACGTTGGCAGCATCCTCCAGGAAGAGGGGATGGAACCACTCGAAGAGGGAGTGGTACAGCCCAAGCCGTACGTCAGTGTTTTTCCGCAGGGCGCTAGCTACCTCATCCACCAGGTCTCTTTTGGGACCCACGTCCACAGCATTCCAGTTCCACGAGTACTTGGAGCCCCAGAGGGTGAACCCTGCGATGTCACGCACACAGAAAACTATGTGTCAAACTGTGACGACCTAATCTGATAACTGCAGGTTCCAGAACACAGGTTCTCTGAACCCTGTGCCAGGATCCATACTGTTGTAAAAGAATGACGATTACAAACAAGAGCCCATTGGGCCCTTCTTGTCCACTTGCTAGTTGGCATCTAATTGATCCAAGAATCACATCTGGACAATTCTTTAAGAAAAACAGGGCATTGAAACTCAAACATTTCCCTGTTTGAAACCCCATTGTCTGCCATGGTTTCCATTCACTGACTAGTCCATCTTCTACCAGTTATGTACAACAAATATTATAACAGAGTTGCACTGAATTTATGTTCCCTTCCCCCAACAAATTCCTAACGAGTTATCCTTTTTTACAAAAGTAATATCCACAATGCCTGGTGTGTCTCCTTCACAATGAAATAGAGTACAACTGCTTGTCAATTCATAATTTCAAACTCATACTGTACCATATATGCAACAATAAGTCCGAAGCCTCATAAAATTAGAGAGAACAATAAATATTAAATCCTCCATAAGGATTCAGTGGTGAGCAGAAACTCATTTTAGACCTGTCCCCTAAATATTATGAGACTAAAGGTTGTGAGCCCATGACTATCTCTGAATACAGTTTAAGAGATGCAGGCACCTTCCTGGAGTGTGAACCCTGGTTAAAGTAATAAAGTACAACGATCATCCTTTTTCTTCTAGGATACAACATAGTTCAAAGTTGAATGCTGGACCGGGATTAACTTCCCACAACTAGGACAAAGTCTTCCAGGTCACTAGTCATGGTGTGTGTCTTTGTTTTTAATGCTGACTCTGTTTTAATATGAAGAGTATTTTATTACATAATTTGACTTCATTAGACAGATCTGGACAAGGAAGAACAAAGAAGGGGTCCTGCATAAATGCTATTGATCTCCTTTTTTAAAAAAAAATGTTGCAGAGTCTTTTGTAGATTTTGTTAAATACTCCTTCTAATCAATGGAATGACACTTTGGAAGCTAGTAGTTTTCCAAACACAAACTTTGCAAGTTTTCTTTATAGGTTATTAAATGCAAAAGCTTCCATACATTTAAATTAAAAACTGACAATCTGCTTTCTGGATGCAATTTTGTGAATATGCACATCTGTAGGTGTTCACTGTCCTAGTAAAGTTAAATCAAAGATATTTTCTATTGAAGCAAGGCTACACAGGTCAAACTGCATGTCTGCTTTATTCACTTTTCACTGCTGGGCAATAAATATCAGACTCACCTTCATGGTGTTTAGTGGTTAGAACAACATATTTTGCACCCGATGCTGCAAAGATTTCTGCCCACTGGCTGGCGTCGAAGAACTCCGCAGTGAACTGTGGAGCAAAATCTGTGTACTGAAAGCCAGGAGGGTAATTCTTTTCCATGAATTCAACATAGTTCTTCATGTTCTTGTGCCAGTACCACCTGCAGAGGTTACAGATAAACATTTCCAGGGCTTATTGATTGCTGTACCTTAATTTGATACAATATCTGGCAAATCCTTTGGCAGTACTCTCAAGCTAAACTAAGTTCTGCAGGGCTGTAGTAGAGCTTTGTCAATTAAAAAGCAGAAGTCTCATTCTAATGCCATACCAGAGTTCTTTGATAATGTTGCACTAGCATGGCATGCAATACTCAGCTATTGCATGCCATGCCAGAACAACACTAACTTTCAAATGATTTCCAGTTTCACGGCCCAGAATGCTAAATTTTTCCCATGAACATCATTTCTCCATACACTGTCATTCCCTGCAATGACGGTCTTACAGCCCTCAAGCACACACTGGAAAAACGCACAGTGCTTGATCCACCCACCTACACTCTCGTACGTCTTGCAGAATTGGTCCTCACAATGAATGCATTCTCATTCAATAACCCTTTTTATCAGCAGGTTAGTGGAGTCACCATAGGCACAAGGATGGCACCTAGCTGTGCCAATATTTTTGTCAGCTGTAGAAGAATGCTTCTTCGCTTCCTACACTGGCTATGTCCATGACCTCTACAAGCAATACATCAATGACTGCATCGGTGCTGCCACATGCTCTAAAGACCAGCTAGAGCACATCCTGCATCAATTCACTAACTCTCACCCATCCATCAAAAATACAGTTAACATATCTTCCATCACTCTTCTGTTTCTAGACATCAACCTATCCACTAACCATCCACAACTCTCTACTTTGGTCTATTACAAACCCACTGATTCACACAGGTCTCTCCTGTATGGCTCATTTCACCCCAAACACACTAAAAACTCTCTCCCCTTTTCACAGTTCCTCAGGCTATGATGCACTCCTTTTCCTTCAATAGAGGATACCCCACCAATGTTATCAACAGGGCCCTCACCTAAGCCAAAAACAGTCTTTGGATCTTCAACTTGATCAGGAACTCCCAGTCTCACAACTGCATTCCTTTGGTGCTTCCCTACTACCCAAACACACTTTCTAACCCCTGGACCATTAACGACACCTTTTCCATCTTACAGGATGATCCCTCCATTGGTACCCTCTTTTCTGTAACAGAACTCGCTGCATTACCTCCAAATACATAACTAACAACACACTCATTCAAGGCCCCTCAGGACAATTCCGGATCACCCAGACAACATCCTGTATCGCCAGCAACCTCATTTACTGTATATCTTGCAGGAATTGCCCAGCTATCTGTGGTGGGGAAACAGGAAAGAGACTAGGAGACCGCTTCAGAGAACATGTTAGGGCTGTGAAGATCAAAGATTTCTCCAAGTCCATAGTTTCTCATTTCACCTCTGACAGCCATGATCACACTGAAAGAAGGGTTTCTTAACTCCTACTGCAGAAAGACATCCGAGACCATAATTATCCTGAAACTTGGTTCACACCTTCCCCCTTCTCTCAACGACAGACCTGTTTTCTTCTAATATTCTCTATCCATTTGCAGGTTTCGACATCACACCTTCACCTCTCTCGACTTTGCACCTCCTGAGTGTCCACTCTTCCTCCCCCCTACTCCTGCCTCCTCCCGGCTTCTGTTCTCCCAAACTACTTGATATAATCTCTGCTGATTTCCCTGTCTTTCTCGCACCCAGAAAAGGCTCCACAGCCGAAAACTTGTGTTTCCATTGCTCACTTTTCAGCATGGAATAAACTTGTTCCTTTGCAGTCTATGCATGCTGACACAGCTACCTACTGTACTTGAAATACTCAACTATGACAGCCAACCACTTTAAACATAAAATATTTGTTTGGAAATAACAGAAAATTAGAATATCTGTTAAATAACTAGAGTATATTTTTACCCCACCTGCTGAATATAAAATCTGAGATCATAAAAGTTTACTACAGCAGCCTGGCTGTACCTTCAGTTACATAATACATTAACTGTACTTGGTTCTCTCACCGTTTTCGACAGTCATTGCGATTTTATTTTTTACATTTATGTCAGTAGCTTTTTGTGATTTAATTGTGCTTTATCGCACTTTACCTTTGCATTCAGTATACACTGATTATAAATCTAAAAGTTTGGGAATGTTTTCACCTTATCCGACTAAAGTAACACCACACCACTAGCGACACTGTAAACATTTCCTTTCAAGATACAAAATACTTCGTCCTATTTAGCTCCATTGAACAAATTTAGTATTTCTGTTCATTCATAGATTTACAAAAACGGTCATTTATATTTCAAAATGCATATGATGTAGCCTGCGGCTTATTTGTAAACATCGTAATACATTTGTTCTCTGTGCGGCTGGTCATCCAGTCACGCATACGAAATGTTGTGCTGAAAACATGCTTCTACTACAATTACATACCAAAACCACTCGCTGCCATAGCTGGGGACAGAGAACACTCCCCAATGCACGAAGATGCCGAACTTCGCCTGATCGAACCACTCTGGCAAAGGTCTGGAGTCAATGGATTCCCAGGTGGGCTGGTACTGACATCCGCCGCCACCTGCAAGAAAGAGCACGACTCCTCCGGCCAGTAACACACTCCATTGGCAGCGCTTTCCAGAAGACATCACCATTCACAGAGAGACTCAGGCACTGAACAACTCTATTTCTCTTCCTCTTCTCTCATATGACTTGGACTCGTGATCACGGGACCATATGACCAGTTTTATGTAAATTTCTCAAAACACTTCCCTTTACTTTAGGTTACGAAAAGGTGTCATGTGGATCTAATACAGTGTTATGCTAATGTTTGAATTGGAATCGCATAAAAAGGTCTTTGAGTTATAATGTCTACGAAATATGCAGGTTTTTCAGTCATCGTTTGTTTATCTTTTTTCACCCAATTCGAATAAGTAAGACAGCCTATGAACAGAACAGACTGGTTGTTTTTATCTGAATGCCAAAAATACAGTTTCTCGTTTCACACACATGGGGGCAGTGCGAGTTCACGAAATGTATTTTTTTTTAAATTTATTAAACGTATAAATAATTTACAAATACAACTACAACCAGGGGATCAAAACCAGGTACATGAGAAAAAAACACAAACAGAAAAAAAAACATTTAACCGCCAGAGGTAATGAGGTAAATTATGTGATCAAATTGTATTTTGTACATATATCATGTGTTTTCCTTGCTTTATTATTTCTTATTTTTTTATAGAATTTAAATAGTGTTTCAGCTAAAAGTACTAAAAGTCCAAAAGTACTAAAAAGGGGAGTATTGTTAGACCATTTTGATTTATGGATGTGAAATTTACCAAGAATTACTAATAAATTGACTATAAATAAATGCTCTTTCTCCAAATTTTCTATTAAACAGTACAATAAAATATCAAAATCCTTCAATCTAAAAAGTACCTTCAACTGCCTGGAAACAAAACTCTGCAAGTCCGTCCAAAACAACTTCACAAATCTACACCTAACAAATAAATGCACCTAAGATTCCCTTTCTGCCCGACTAAAAACACACAGATCATCCTGCTCATGCTTAAATTTAGAGAGTACTAATTTAACTGGATAAAACTTCTGTACAATTTTATACGATATCTCTTTAACTTTATTTGTAATACAAAATCTATCTGGAGTTGTCCAAACTAACTTCCAGTTTATATTTTCAAACATTGCATTCCAAAAAGATAATCAAGAAGGGATAACATGGGGTTTACAAAGATTCCTTATATGAGTATTGTTACATTTCTTATCCTTTATTTCCACGCCATCCAAGAATAAATCAGTTATAGGACCAGAAAGGAAGTCAGTCCTGATAGCGCTTTGATTTGCTTTAAACAAGTTCACTACACCTTCCGGAATGGCATAAAAAACTATCGCATATTCCTTAGGGGGGACAGGGAACTGAAACCTCTCTAGGAATTCAGGATAAGTAAACAATCTACCACTTTCATTCAACAGTTGAGCCACTAAATAAATTTTGTTGTTAAACCAAGTCTGTAAAAAGAAACTTTTATTTTTAAACTTAATGTATTTCTTATTCCAAATATAATATGTATGTGGTGAAAAATTGTGTTTGTATAATAAAGTCCAGTATAATAATACTTGCTTATGAAAATTAGATAACTTAATTGGGATTTTTTTATATCAAACTTACATTTTAAAAAAAAGTCAAGATCCCCAACATTCAGTTCATGAAATGTATACATACAGCATAGGGTTTCACTGCTCCATCACCTCTTGCCTCAGAGCAGAAGATGACGCACGAGTCATGAAAAGGCACACTTCAGTCTTGCGTCTTGTGTCTGAGCAATTGTATTAAAATAGACGTTACAATATGTCTCACCCTTCATTTATGTCCATTGTCCATGTCCGAGAAGTCATTAAATTAGAATTATTCTTCTCTAAGCACATGCATAGTTTCCAAAGAAAGTGTAACCATACTAATCATTGTGTAATTTATATGTTTCAATAACACATGTAACCAATGTAAGAGTGACAGATTTATAATTTATACTTATACTTAGTTTATAGATGAGTATTCATTCAGTAAAATTTACATGGATAATGCAAGGGAGCTGTCATACAAAGGCTTTATGGATAACATTCCCTCGTTGTCACAATACAGTTGCAGACAGGTTGAACATTTATGTTTCCTTTCACCTAAACATTGCTGAAGTTAACCCCCATCTTGCACAATATATTTGGTGCAGAATTTTGACTGTATGTTTACTCTATTTCAAGATATAAATGTCAGATGTATAGCACAACTTGCAAGATATGGCAGTGTAATATATACCTAATGACATAATTTGTTATATTTTATTTGTTTTTCTGAGAGCAGAAATAGTATTTAGAATAAGCCATCAATAATTTTAATAGTCCAGGACCATTTCAATAACCATTTAGTCCAATACAAGGTCGCAGTGAGCAAGAGACTCCCTCAGCAAAGATCGCTATGCACCTTGGAAAGGCCTACAGTCCATCACAGGACACATATCAGCAATTTATTAGGAATTAAAGGGCTTAACAATGATCTTGAAATAAAATCACCCTTCAATTTGTGACCTATGACCTGCAGAGCAAAAGCAAACCATGATATTTTGTTTTCAGTGGTTGCTGAAATCAGTTATTCCATACCCTCCAGTTCAAAGAACTGTGAGTAATATTCAAGCAGAATCCCATAAACAGATTAGACAAAATGTGTTACACAAATCAAATGACACATAGAATTGAAAATGAAATAATCAGATGAAAGGCAGCTCATCCTATTTCAAGATAGTGTTGATTGGCATATAATACAAGGATGTGCAAAATCTTGAATTAGCATAGTATCACCAACATTACAGTAAAAACATGTGCACAGTGTGTAAGGTGTTTCAAAGTCTTGAGTTTCAAAATTGCCCTGATGTGCACATTTCATTCATATCTAAATTTCATATTTAAAAATCTTAGCAAGGGGCAAGGGTGCTCCAGTACAGCCTGTCTGCAGTGTGCCAGAGAATCTACTGCAGGAAGAGTGAGACACTGGTCCTTTACAAGAAAGTCAATGAACACCTGGTCTATAGAGCAGACTTCTCTCAAGAATATCCCATTCTTGCTCATGTGGGTTCAGATCTGGTGGCTGAGAAGGCCATGACATATGGACAACATCAGTGTCCAGCTCATCGTACCACATGTGCTCTGTGGGTGGAGGGTTGTCATCCTGGGCGATCCCTCCCCTCCTCATCCGGAAAGAAATGTTGTAACATGAGGTGAAGATGATCACTCAGTTCCATAATATTGAGATTACCCCTAACCTTGCCTTCTAAGCATGAGAAACTGTGCACCTACTGTGGTTCTGTGATGTTGTGAGGCACATCAGAACCCTTCACTGCTGGAACCAAGCACTCAGCTGTAGGTCTTTAGGTTGTTGTCACATGTGCACCTGTCCTTTTCTCGAGAACAGGGTGAAGGATGATTAATCTGGCCAGATCTACTGCTCTTTGCATCACTGGCAGATGACACTGGCTGCTCGCTCCCCAGTTTAAAATGACTTTTCCTTGACTTTGAATCAATGCACTGATAACACAATCCTGCCATATGAGCTTCTGCCTTAGACTACTCAAGAAACATGATGTTTGCTCATGAAACATCAGCATGTTGAGCTGTACTGGTGGTAACTGAAGCTCCTATCAGACACCCAGGAGCCATCCAGTAACCCACTTACAACATGTCCAACTTTTTAAGATTTAAGAGAGATTAAGATAAAACTCTTGGCCATATACAATTTCTTGCATTAGGAATTAATCTTTTTTCACATACCCCCGCTGTCACGCCCTCTGGCTCCTTCTCTGTCCTGTCCCTAGTTTCTGGTCTGCTGTCCTTCCGGTCCCTCTCTTTCCCTTGGGCTATATATTTCCGGGTCTTGTACTCTGCCAGTGGTCAGCTTTGACGTTCGGATGTCCTGACACCCACCTAGCACCAGGGCGCCCCACGTCCACTCCCTGAGGGCATAGGTTTCTATACGGCATTCCTGAACTCTTTGCACTATGAGCCCGGGTCCTTTTCCGCTCTCCTGCTGCCCTCGGCTAGTCCTTTTGGACGACCGTGACACCCGCTTGCTCTCCATGAGACACACAGACAGTGGGGAGAGAAGCTTGGGGTCAGAGCACAGGGTCAGTCATTTATATGGTGCATCTGGAGAATAAGGGCCTTGCCTTACTCAGGAGCCCAGTGGAGTAATATTCCTCTGCCAGCTGTGGGATTTGAACCAGCAACTTTTTAGCCACTAGTATAGATCCTTAGCCACAGAGCCACCGCTCCGCCGCATAATACATGGCAATAAGCATGTTGGGATGTTATTTGCTTAATTAACATATGGGAGATGTCTGTATGGAAGCCCTTGCTTTCAATATACTGTACTTGTTGTCCCTTTTTTGTCCCCTGCTACCATGTTTGATAAAAGCTCCAGAAGTCCTAAATTTTCCATGAATGCTAAAAATCAGCTGCAGGCAACACTTATGGTTTGTAACAAAACTCAAAGGGAAAAGGATCACATTACAACCTAAATTCAGTCGTTCGTGGTACGTGGTACTGGAAGTCGCGGGTGCAGGATTTATAAACGCGAAAGTGCGAGATTAGGATTTAACCTTCCTCTCTAAATTCCATTATAACTTTCTTTTATAATTCAATTTAGCATGCATTTCGATTCATGTATTAATTTTTATCTTTAATACCAAATAATCTGTAAATCAACGATAAATAGTAAGTAAAATATGAACACCGGTCAGTATATATTTACTTTTCACACATTTAAGGCTGGTACCGAGTGATATCTAGAACCAGGCTGGGATTCATTTATATCGTAAAACGACTAAACATTCCTTGAACTGTAATACAAGCAAGACATTTCAGTAGGAAGGGAAGATCGACAGGTTCCTTTTCCTATGCTATGCACATATTCGCCAATAGATGGCAGGTAGGATCTGAGCTGTGGAGAATTAGGCAAAACGCGTTACATATCGGAACAGGATAATGCAGTTTAGGAACGGATATATGCAATCTTTTACTTCAGAGCTTTGGACAATTTTCAGATTTCCCCTCTGTGACAAACTACTAAGCGTTTCGATTCTTTGCTTATATTCCTTTAATACAAAGTGAAAGTCAAGGTGACTCAAGTGAAGTTTCATTAAACTTTCTGTGGCTTTGT